GTCTGCCGGTGTGTGAGGCTTCACAGACTTAATTAGAACTCACACACTAATCACATTTCCCATACTGCCTCCAGCCAGCAGTGATTAGCCCACATAATAAATGTAAATTCTAGAAGAAAAAAAAAAGGAAAAATAACTTTTTCATTAATGGCTAGGCTGATGTGCAGAGGGGCAGTCAAAGCCACAGGATCCTATTAGGAGAATAAGGATTAAAAAAAAAAAGTACCCGTATATATTTCTTCAACTCATTTACTCCAAGAGGTGATAATATTCAGGATGAAGTAATAAGACTGTAATGAGGTAATCAGGTAGAGAAGAAAAAGAGAATCAATGCCTTTTTAACTGACTCGCAGGTCTTAAAAGAACTGGGTTTTTTTAGTAGTAGTTCATTTTTGTACTAACTCCTCTGTTTTTTCTAGATGTCGAAATGCCTGTTGTGAAAAGGCAACATTCTACACAATCAACCGTGTCATTAAAATTGTGTCATAGGTCAACTTTATGGCAGTGCAAAAAAGTCAAGTTTTTTTTCTCCCACTAACATGGTGAATCAGCCTTTTTTTAAATTTTCAACAACTCCAGAGGGAAATATCTGTCTCGTCAGCAGTTTAATGCTCACTAGCTGGTGACAATTAGCAGAATACCCTTATTTGCTTTTTTTCCCAAGAGTTTGATGAGAAGATTGATGCCACTCATCTGTGTGTCAAGTATGGAGCTATAGCGCCAATTAGCTTAGAATAAAGACTGTAAGCAGGGGGGAAACAGCTAGTCTAGCTCTCTCCAAAATATATCAACTCCTCCAAAGCACACTGATTAATGACGTCTTGCTTCCTTAATACAAATTCAAGCCGATATGTTTATTTTATAATTCGCAAGTGAGTCGCTAGTAAATCTACCAACTAAATGCTGATGGAACAAGTAGCAAGAAATAATTGAACTTTTTTTTTTTTTTTTTCTGAAATGTGATCAAGATTTGTCAGGTTCAAAGCATCGATGATTTTAAAGATGTTTTCTTTATATAATAAAATGTGTTGTAGCAACTTTCTTTCAGGAATAACTTGCACATGGGTGCAAGTCATTGTTTTAGCTATAAAGCCACCTGCTGGTTAGAGTGAACAAGGTTGGCCCCGAAGCTATAGCGACAACTCCGGCTCCAGGCTTCACGTGAGGTGGTCAGACCATGGGGCACATAATAAAGATGATTCAGACAAACCAAGCCGGCACCGTCATGCATAAAGATGCGTTGTCGAACTTGACCTCGGCACGTCTCCTCCCGAGGTCGAGGAGCAGTCATTTTCCCCGCTCTGCATGCCGGTACAGTATGCAGTGCTGACACACTCGCTGGCAGCCGACTCCTCTTGCAGGCAGCGCGCGCGCGTGAAAGTCATCGGAGAAGCCCCCCCCTCTAACTGACGCTGATTTCTTACGCTTGTCAGAAGTCACATCCACTAACAGGAGCGGTGCTGTACTCATAGACTCAGCGCGAGCTCAGGTTCATGACAGTGCACGAGAGCAAAACGTGTGTGTGCGTGTGTTTGTGACACTAGTGTTTAAGAGCGTGGACTCAGCAGAGCTGTCCCGCTGCATTTCCACAGCTGCTCTTTTCACCCTGTAGTAATCAATAGCTGGCTTTGGGCTCGCTTGGCACGGTGACAATAGATCGATCAACATTACATTACAGACGGCCTGTCGCCAGCCTGCGGGGACTGCCGAGTCGAACCCACTTCATTCCCCTCTCTAATTCTCTCCTATCGTCTCGTCTTTATCAGTGTGACTGTCTACCGCGTCCCTCCATTCGTAGCAGGGGGAGCCCGCTATTTTTGCATCCTATACACGCACGTATTTCGTAGTGCGTCTCACTTTTGTCGCCACGAAGCCGAGTCGCGTGAACGTGCGCACGTGCAATTTCAGCCCAGTTGGAGGTGTTGTGTTTGCGCTCCCCTCGTTCATTTGTATGATTATTTCAGCTCCACCAGTGGGCTGCACCTCTGCGCGCCGTTATGTGGGTGAATTATGGAACGGAAAGGAGCGCGGCACGGAACAGCCGTTTCCACTTCATCTCAATCTCACGGCGTCGTCGGCTGTTTGAGGTGTGTTTAAAGTGAATGATTGAGAGAGGGAAGCTGAGGACAGAGCGAGTGAATGCGTTGGTGTGTGTGTGCGCTTCTCCTTTATCTCCCTGCTCTTCGCGGATATCGGCTCGTTCACTGATCATCATTATCGTTGGAAGAAACTCGGGTTCTCCTTGAAAGCAGCCATGTTGATTAATTCAGGTGACATAACCCTTCAGTACACACTCAGTCACTCGCACACACACACACAAACAAATAAACGCGTGCTCTCACCCATGACAGAAAATACCAGCATCCACATGTCATCTGCAAGATTTTATTTGACAGCAGCAACATTTGGTATTAAAATAAAGTATTTTTACGCCAATAGAGACATAGCGTGGTTTATTGTTTGTTAGTGAATTAGATTCTAACCTGAGACCTGGATACAGTACATATGATTAACACACAACATCCTTCAGTTATTCAGTCTAGTAAATGCAATTGTGTGGAAGACTTCTGTTATGTATGGTTCTATGTCCTGCTGTGAATGTTTGTGCTTGGGGGTGTGTGTGTGCATGTGTGTGTATTCTGTGTCTTTTGACTTCTAGGTGCAGCTCCCTAACGAGTGATTGAGGGAACCTGGATGAGGATGGGGTTTACCTATATAAGCGCCTCCTTGTGCCGCCCTCACTCTCTCTCATCTGCCTGGCACCAGACCCTGGTCTGCAGTTGGATTTGCACACTACAGTTTACTTGTGTCCTGTAAATAAACTGGCAGCTGTGGTTGTTTTTAACCTAACTTGGTGTTGTGTCCCTCCTATATGTTGCGACTCCCGAGCCGGTCGTAACACTTCACAAACCACTAACGAGGAAATAAAATGCAACATGGACTTGTTCCCATACAGGAAAATATTGAGCATGGAAAGTGCATCTTCAAATGAATTGCATGTAAATAACAAGATTCATGTTTGTTATGGAGCAGTTGAAATTCAGATTTTATACTTCGATGATGGCAGGCTTCACTCTGAGTGGAATTCCTCTTTAAGACTCCCATTAGCCTCCTGATGTTGCTATAAGTGATCGAAGATGTTGGACTGCTGATTTAGGATTTCTCTGGTCTTTGCAGCTCTAATGAATGAGACGGTCGAGGGGACCTGGCAGGAGGTTCCAGATCGTCCTGGAGAAGATTGAACAGTGCAGTCCCAGGCATTACAGCCCTCCCTGACATTACAGTGCTGTGGTCTCTTGATGTACAAATAAAAGGGATCCAAATGCAATCCCCCCCCCAGAAAAACCTTCATACATCACTGCTGCTTGACCAGATTAGCCTCTGACTTTAGGCATTTCTTTCAGATCAGATTTGATTGTGGACAGGCTTTTTCAGCTAAAACTCCATTGCCTTTTGAAAATGGAGATCCTTCCAGGATGCCATTATAACACTTCATTATTAAATACATTAAATATTTAAAATAACTAATTTGTCTACTTCAAAAATAAGCAACTCTGATTTGATCTGCAAAATATAGCCACTATGATTTATAGCTAAAATAAGTAGTTATTATACATTGTTAATAACAAGCAATCGCCTAATGAAGGAAAGCAGGTGCTAGTTGGTCCCAACAATCCAGTTAGATCACAAGAATTATTCTATTTTTCTCTATAATTAGCAACTGTTATGTGGATTCACGTCTTATACCCTGCTGGAGAAGTAACAGGCTGTTTTTTCTCTATCCAAGCACCAACATGTCAAGGCCAACGCATAAGTGCACAGTGAATACATCTTAAGAACGATGCTTTCATAGGTGGTAGTTGCATACTTTGCTCAAGGCAAATAAGACATACAGCATGTACCCATATAACAAATGTAATTTTAAATAATGGAGGTTATCACTCTACGAGCCTTAATTATAGACAATCATCTGTTTCATAAAACAAAAAACATGTTGCTGAGTCTCCATCTACAAGAGCAGGATGCTAGCCAGTGATCATAACTACTAACCGTGGCACAATCGTCCCATTAGGTTAAAAGTTTTATGTGTCTATTATTAGTGATTAGCAGTGAGCTGATCACAGAATTATCTCACATTCATTAAATAGTTTAGACGCAATCAAAGATACAGGTTCAGCTGCAAGAGAGCTCACAGTCTTTTTAACACGTAGTAGTGTAGAGAGGAAACCCAATGGACCCGGCAGTACAAACGCTGGATAGAAATACACACCGGTGGGTGTTGTACAACAACAGTACTAGATCTTGGGGATGAGGTGGCTGACGAGCCTCTGGAGGTCCTGGGTTCTGCGCTGGGTGGTCCTCAGCACCCCCTCGTGGTTGGCCTTCTCAACGCTGTCGTAATCCGTCACGACCTTGTTGGTGACAAGGGATAGACCCAAGACACGCAGGCCACAGTGACGAGCCACCACCACCTCTGGCACTGTGCTCATACCTAGACAGAGGGGAGAAGTCCGTCTCAGGTGCACTGACTTAATCATGAGCATAATAATAATAATATTAATAATAATCAATTATGTGACTTAGAATTGTAAGAGTGTTATACTTAATTTAAAAAGTTTTCATATATATATATATATTCATATACAATATACAAAATCATTTTCATGTTCTTGGGTTTTTGTTTCATCTGTTTCCTGTTTTATTTTGAAGTTCACTCCTCATGTGTCATATGTTTTTGTGAGTTTTCCCGAGTTTTTGATAGTCTGTCCTGCCTTGATTAGTTTCACCTGTCCCTCATTAGCCCTGCTCACCTGCTCCCCCCTTCCCTTGTTAGTCGGTGACTATGGGTACATCCCAAGTCTCTTAATTGCATCCCCGTTTCCCTCACTTGCGTCTTTTCCTTGCATCTTAGTCCCTCCCCCCAGGGATGCATGGAGAGACGCATGGCAGGAAACCATGCGAGGAGAGAGGAAATGACAAATAAGAGACTTGGGATGTATCTATCTATACCACCTCAGTTCCTCTGTGTTTCGTCTATTGTTGCTGGAAGGAGTTTTCGTCCCGCCCACTGGAATCAGTAAGCTTTTTGTGGTATTAAATTATCAGCAGGTTTTAACAGTGGAAAAACACAAGTCAGACTTGCATTGGGCCATACTCCATGATTCTTCTATTAAATGAGAGGTACGAATATCCGCCATAATAGCTATCGGGTCATATTGCAAAATAAAAATAAAAAGTGGTGAATGAAATGGGAGGAAGTCTAGAGGGAATTGAAGCTGTTTTGGATTGTCTATAAAATAAAAATGAGAAAACTATTGACACATTTCAGATAGCTCTTTTTGTGCAAGGTGCCAGGGTACAATATCAGATCATGATGTAAAAATAACATATTTTTCTCTTTTGGAGATCGTCCTATGATGTGACTTTCACAACTCACACCTCAACAGTCCTGCTCTGCTGTCTGTATCCTCGTCTCTCCCCCGTGTGTCACGGTGTGTGTACATCTCACTCAAGTCAGGAAACTTGTCAGAATACCCATATTTGATTGGCTGAGCCTCCTCACGCGATGTGATTCACAATGCATTGGTCGGTGTGTTTCCTGCACCGCTGAACAAGTGCCGTAAATGCTGGAATAATTCCACTGCATAAAAAATGTCATTCAAAATAAAATCACAATTTTTTTTTTTTGTTTTGTTTATGTCAATCAAAGTCCCGCGACCCACTTTTGGGTCGTGACCCACCAGTTGAGAATCACTGATCTAGACCTTGGCCCTTTTAATTTAAATTTTGTTTCCAATTCCAAAAAAAGCTACCACTGCAAAATTCAAATGCTGTTTGTATTTGTTCAGAGTGTTATTTCTCTCCTTATCCAAACTATGAATTCATATTCATTTAAAAATCCCCAAGCTGTTGTAGATGCACTTTCGAGATACATTAGTATCCCTTTAAGTGAGCACGAGAGAGCCGTACTAACCCACACAATCAGCCCCCAGCATCTGCAGGAGTTTGCACTCTGCAATGGTCTCGTATGTCGGTCCAGCCAGCATGCAGTAAACTCCTTCATGCAGGAAGCTGCCGCAGCCGTGCTCCTGTGCTGTTTGCTTGACCAGAGCCCTCAGCTCACGGTCGTACGCGTCCGACATGCAAGGGAAACGCTCTCCAAACCTGGAGACATGTCAAATGAAGGAATGGGACATGGCAACAAGACAAAGATGTGGCCGATGCTCAAAGTTTTTAACTTTCATAGTCCTGCATTGGCGTTTTTGTACTGTACCTGCACTCATTGTGCCCACAGAGCGGGTTCTGGCCCGCAAAGCCCGGCATGTTGATGTGATCCTTGATGAGCATGATGTCTCCCACTTCGTAGCTGCCATTGAGTCCCCCCGCTGCGTTTGTCACGATCACAGTTTTCACGCCAAGGAGGAAGAAGATTCGCACCGGGGACGTCACCTGGAATGACAAACGCGCTAGAGACAGATACTGTTGTTCTTCTATTGCTCTGACGTATGTCCATTTTTATTTGATCATTTATTTATTTATTTTTACAAATGGGAGTTACAAGAGGGGGGTCACCTGGGAACAACAGTGGAGAAAATGCATCACATGAGAATGCCAATATTTTAAAAGGGACACTGTCAGTAGACAGATTATTGTTTATTACTGTAGGTCCTTGTTGAACTGTGCATGACTGAAACAATCGTGCTTCTGCACAAAACTTCATAGGGCAGCTGATGGCCCGGTAATGACTACTAATGCTCCTTTTCACTGCAGTCCCATTTTGAAATTGCTGTTTCTATTTCACATTTGTCTGTCGCTTGAATTGCCTCCGAAAGTGATTTGCTAGTTAGTGCAGAAATGTTTCCAAGTACCCCGGTTTCTCGATAAGGTCAGCGCTGTCATTTTGGATTATTGGCCTGTCTGGATATGCATTTTGTATATTGTAGCAGTGGACTGATGTGCTGTCAGTGTACTTTCGGCCTTGTCAGGGATGAAATGCAAGCACAGTAAGCTGCATATGTAATGGCAGGTCTGTGTTTGCCTTCTGTGTTCTGTGTGTGTCTTTGTGTTGCTCCACACCCTTCTCACTCTACCTGTCAGCCACTCCCTCAGTATCAGCCTAACTCCCTTCACCTGCCTCTGATCACTAATCAAGCACTCGCTCCTCATCAGCACAACTCCCCTCACCTGTTCAAGCCACTATATAAACCCCTGCCTCTTAGTCACTCTTTGCCAGATCATTTCCATGTCTACCCGCCCGTTAGGCTCGTCCTGTTCCTGGGTTTCCCCGTCTGCCTGCCCTGCCTCGTGCTGCTGGATTTCCTCTCTTGTCTCGTCCGTGGATTTCCCCCCTCGTATCTTGTCTTGTCCGTGGATTCCCTGTTATGTTCTGTTTCATTAAATACCTGCTTCACTCTACTTCTGGTTTGGTCTGCATTTGAGTCCTCCACCACACCCCGTGACAGCAGGACTGTCGGTAGCAGGGGAGCCGTTAATGAAAGAGTTGACTTGCCGTAAATTACCGTAAATTATTTGCCAAAAGGCTCCTGGGTGGCAATATATATTCATCCATATAAGCTCATTTTCAGTCAGTGATTTCTAATGTCACCTGACTAGGAAGAAGACAAAAAAGAGCAACACAAACAAAAAGGACTTTAAAGAGAACAAGATTAAGAGGGTACAGCCATGCTAGCGATCGATTGAGGTCCTTGTATAAGATGGGTGAGGGCTATCTTTGTAGTTTAAAATTGCAAACAAACAAAGGGAGATGTAGTTTGAATAGAAAAAAATCCTCTCAGACACTGTGGATATATCAATCAACAAAATCTGAGGGCATACTTTTCTTGCAGTATAGTTAAACATCAGTAGGCTATTAGCCGTAGGTGGGCGATTAACGACATAACTGACCCAGAGAAACGTACATGAAACATTGCTGACAACATAAAACCCTTTGAAAGGTCTCCTGAAGGAGTAATATTAAGAGGAGATTGAACCGGGGACCCTGGGAAATTAGATACGCTCCTGTGGTTTGATGCTTTGAGCTTAATGTTAACACCAGCATGCCGACACTATGACAATGCTATTTTCATGTTTAGCATTTGAATGCTCATTTGTAGCATTGACATTTCGGTGTAATGTTTACGATATTAAACATGTTTGTTTAGTGTGTTAGCATGCTAACACATGCTAATTAGCACTAACCACAAAGTGGAGCTGAGGCTGATGGGTTTGCCATTATTTTTTCAGGGTATTTGTGTCACGCTTCTGAAACAGAGCAGAGACTCAAGCGCAGAGACAGGCACTGGAGACGAGGTGGAAGGCAAGGTTCTTTTACCAAAAAGTAATAAACAAGAACTCAAAATGACTCCAACAGGGAGCGGACCAAAAATCCAAAATCTGTAGAAAGGCAAAGTCACTAATCATGGAAACAAACACGAGGACAAAATACCAGAACATGAAGCGCACTCGGGGAAGGACAAATACAATCTGACAACCAGAACAGGGAAAGCAGGGGAGTATATATGTGTGGGGTTGTCAGAGGGAAAAGCCAGGGGCAGGTGATTGAACACAGGTGAAGTGAATGAGAACAACTCATAGACACACTCAGGAGAAACACACACACACGTGAGGCAAAGCATAACCGTGACAATTTGACCGTAAAGCAAAGTTTTTCATTAATTTAAAACTAGATCATCATCATTGGAGGTAAATAATGTGGTTTTTTTTAACTTGAAAAAAGCGCAATAAGCTGCTACAACTGCCATGTGTGTTGAAATGTGCCTTGAGTGGAAGTTTGTCTTGAATGCTCTTATTATTATTTAATATCTTTTTAGTTATATGATTTGATTTTGCTTCATGTTGTATTTGTTTTCAGTCCAGTCGACAGTTTCAATTTGCGAGCAGTTTGTTTTTGGAGTTTAACCGAAACCAATCAGTTCATGAATTATTTATGGTCTAGAAGAGTCAATAGCATTCCCATTCACTGTTGTTTTTCCCATCCATCCAGAGGTGCACTTTATGGTTTCCTCTGTAGATCAGCATTGACTTAATATCTTGTAAACAAGCTTGGTCACGGTGTTTGATTGCAATTCAAACCTGATTTCTTTTTAGTTTAGAGGGTATGATTTTGATGGTGACCGTGGGCCACTGGGTTAAGAGGGTTGTCTGGGAACCGGAACGTCAACAGTTCGATTCTCGACTGGGACGTGTCACGTGCTGTAGTGTACCTGAGCGATACACAGCATAACGGTTCCCCGAGCGCCTGTCATTGGCAGCCCACTGCTCTCTATATACAGGGATGGGTCAAATGCAGACAAATTTCCCCCTTAAAGGGATCAATATAGTATAATAAAAATTATTTGTATTTTGTCTAATATGTATTATCATTATCTAGCCAAGATCTTCCTCATTGTCAGTGTTTAAGTTCACTTTGTAAAAAGAAAAAAAAAAAAAGTTTGAAATCTTACATCACTCTGCTAGAGTTGCTTATAAAAACTGATTCTCGCCTGATCTTCTGTTCCGTTTAGGATTTTGTTCAGTTAGCCGAGAAAGTATATCGGTAATATTGTCTTGTGAAGATGTACCGTAGTTGGCTTGGACAGAAACGCATCTTTTAAAGTTCAACTCATGTGGCGATTGAAGTGGAGGAATTTCATCCATTATATCTCTGTCTATAGTCCCAACCGGACACAGGAGGGTCATAATGCATCTGGCTTTCTATTGCTGTATATATGAAATTGGATTTTATGATTCAGTAGAGTTATATGGATCATTTTATATGATGGCACATCACAGCTGGTAATAAGAAATAAAACCAGGATACAGTGTCTCCAGAGGCCAAAGGCCAGTCCCGTATCCACACTATGACACACTGGGTGGTTTCCTTACTGTAATCATGATTCTGCAGCTGACCATTCAACACACATGGTAAATTGTTAGCCAGCTGTGAGCTATAATATGGTCATATATCAAGTTTACACAACTTTATATAGTCAAATGACAAAATCATGATTGAGGATGAGATAAAAGCTTAAGTGTCTCTGAGAGTCGTTTTCTTAGAAAGGGTGTGTAACGACGGTTTGAGCTGTTGAATTTAAATTGTAACATTTTCAGAACCAAAATAATAACTTTTACAGACATTTTGATGTCACAAATACTGTATCTACAATTATCACTAGGTCAATGTTCTAATTGGAACTTAAAATGAAGAGATCATGTGGCGCAAAATGAATGGTGTGTCTTGTAAAGAGCCTCCCTCTGTAACACAAATAATAAATTTAGTGTTTGCTCATATGGTTTAAAGATTAGGCCTACGCCTAACAAAAGCTGTGAATGTTTATCTTAAAGTGATTGACAAAGTCAGAGTTGAAACTGCCAGCTTTGACTCAGTTATCCTGTATAGTATATCATTCGCATCAGTAAGTTTCCAAAATGGCTTGTGACATAAACTGTCACAGAAAGTTGCTCATAAGGCAACTTAGAGTAGTAACAAATGGACATGTCTGCATTACTGCAAAACAAATGGTGTTCATTCCAATTTAATTTTAAGTCAATAAATTAATTTACTTCTAGCATAACGAACATATATAAATCCAGTATACAAACAATATCATTCTAAGATACAACACATCATGTTTTAGCCATGCTAGCAGACATGGATGGCAAAATGCATGCAAAACTAATGACATTCCCATCAGCCTCAGCTGTAGGGCTGGTTAGCAAATGTTAGTAAGTTACTAAAACGGGCGAACCTGACTCCTCGTCATCTTAGTATTTTTACTGTGAGCATGCTTACCTCAGCATTTAACTGTCAATTACAACATCACACAGTCAATAGTATGACTGTGGACTTTTCATCTTTTTTAATACAATTTTGATAAAACCAATTAATTCTGGTTGTTTACAGCTCAACTTAGCGATAACACTGTGCTGGTCTTACCAATAAAAAAAGTACCAAAAGCAGTATGTACCGTAGCGTACCGTGTGCATGTTGTAACCCTCGTAGAAGTGGAATCTCCCCTGCATGCAGACACAGTCACGGCCCTGCAGCCTCCCGAACACCAGCTGCCCGGAATGGCCCGGCACTGCAAGGCACAAAATTCAGTATGAGCGGCTGCTAGCATGCTTGTGTACAGTTTCCAAAACACATGCGTTTAAGATAATATGCAATTTGTGAGAGACAACTTACCAGTGCTGGTGGGAAAACGTGGGATATCCTCATACGGGAACGTGGTCTTGTCATCCAGCAGGTCAGCCAGTCCGCCCAGGCCTGAACCACAGATGATGGCTACTTTAGGACGCTGCTCTGTGTGGGCCAGCAGCCATTCTGCTGTCTCCTTATACTCTTCATAACTGTATCTGGAGACAATGGGAAGAATATTGATTCATGGTAAATATTACCAAATCATAGAAATACTATTTAACGTGATTGCTTTTTTTTCTATCTTCCAGGCAAAAAGGAAAACACTGCTGACAAGAGAAGTCAGTTTAATTTAGCATACTGTCAATTTTTGTTCTGATAATAGGAGGGGAAGACACTTGGAAATGCAGGAGTGAAAGTGCATGGAAAGGAACATTGTGGAAAAAATAAGAATAAATACGACATTGGGCAACGCCCTTATGGGTTTTTACTTTGCCATGTACCGACCAAATTATTTATCAGGGATGCTGATTACGTTGGAAAAGCCTCGAGGTATAACATCATACAAAGTCTGAAACAGTCTGTAATTCTGGTTATAAATCTGGTTGTTAAGCTATAATGTTGTCAATGAGCCCTCTGTGCCTCAAGCTTTGTTATTAAAACACAATGACACTTTAGGCTTCAGCCTTCACCGAACCAATCTGCAGTAGAGACGGATGTTCAATCTTCCCACATTTTTCCCTTGTTGCCCTTTTTCTTTTTTTTTCTTTTTTTTCTTCAGCTCCAAAAGGAACTGGTAAATCTTTTATATCGGTAGGTATGTTGGCACCAGAGACAGGGTGAAGTCAAAGTGATGAATGTGAATAATGCTCCAACTAAATATCTGAGTTGTGACTGCCATTAAAACTTTGTCAAGACAAAAATAAAGCGGACGTGTATTCCTGTATTCAAATCTGTGGAAGAATTATCATAACACATGATCGATTTATTCTCCTGTGACACAATTGTTGCATGGCTCCATTACTGGCTTGTCAGTTGCAGAGGTCGCCCTTCACATAATTCTTCAGATGGTAATGGCAGCTTTACACACAAACACAACCGCACTCACAATCAGGCATACTTCCAGCTGCTGCAACTTCTGCCGTTCTGTTGTGTGATTCAGAAACAGAACCACCGTGGGTGCCAACATAAGGCAGGGAAGGGATGAGAGCAATTCATGTTTGTGTAACGCGACAACTGAACGTCATATCTTCTTATCATAAACCCGAGAAACTGAAACCAGTGTCCAGTGTGTAAACCTGCCATAAAAATCTCTTATCCTACAAAAACATGATGACATGTCATGTGTCTGTCATTCTGCGGTGATGTTTTATATGAGCGTCACTGAAATGTTCCTATAGGTTCCTATAGGTTGAATGTTCCTATAGGTTGAAGAGGTTGAAGAAGAGGAAAACCAAATTATGTTGTAAATGTGTCCAGCTGCTGAATTTACTAATAGCAAACTAAACTGACTAAACTAACAGCTAACGACTAAGAAAGGTGTTCACACAACAGACATTCTGACAATGGCTGAACCTCCAACATAATCTTAACCCCCTTTCATTAAAGAACAAACCTCTCACATCTTCAAAGATTCAGTCTGCAGCAGCCATCTTGTTATTTGCGGCCTAATGACAGTTGATGGCGGGAATCTCCTGCTGTTTAAAACAGTTTACACAAAACTGATGCTAACTTTTTAGCTAGCTTCTATTATCTCCACAACTGTGTTTTAGCTTACTGAACCTCAATACATTTTACTACACCTATGGCAAAGCTGTGTGAATTTCATTTGTTTAAAAACCTTGCCCTAACTTTACCCTAAAAATAAATAAATGATCACTTCAATGACAAATTTCACCGAAATAGTTATACCTTCTAATAAATAGGTATCAGGACAATTTTACAATAATTTTAAGAACATGGAAAGGGTAACAGGCTAGTTTTACTCTATTTAATTAATTAAGATTTTTGCAGAATATATATATATATATATATATATATATATATATAATTTTTATTATTTGCCAAAAGCTATTTTAATGCTTGTTGTTCTTGTATATCTGTGTAGTCATCACATTTAATGATCAGCCAGTTCACACAGGCTTTTGAAAACAGTAGCCTTTGCATTATGTAACAGCAGAGTAAGAGATTTAACTAGGAGCAGGAAGTGAGCTCGTGGGCTCTCCGTTCTCTGGCTCTCGCGGACCGACCGGCTGCGCGCGGAGCTGTCCATGGTGCTGCCGGGAACTTTACATTCAGGCACCAGAGCAGAGAGCGGAGCGGGACCGCCTCCAGGCTGTTTGCCACATATTTTTTTGCAGACGCAACACAGCAATGTCCTCCCAGTTTAACCAGCCTGAGCTGTTGGTAACCTCCGGTGTTGTCAGTGAACTGGAAACACCAGACTGGCCTGTTAAGTGAGCAGCAAAGATATTTATCAACGAAATGAATTCGACTTGAAGAACACACGGCAGATCCACCACCTGTAGCACACAGTTACGTCAGAGTGAGAGGCGTCATCTTGGGAGGGAAGCCCTTATAGAGGCCACTAATCCTCAGAATAAAGCGTGTATGTTGCTTTAGCTCTGGCGACAGGAACATGAACACAGCACAGTCCACACCAAGATGCGTTTGCGTGGACTGTGGCCTTGACAACCATGAAGCTCATTCCACTCCGGTCCACCAGCATCAACATCCAGCCTTATCTGTCTTACCTGCACTGACTGGCGGAGGAGGTTGCCGACTCCATATCTGACGATGAGCAGGACCAGTCTACTGATAAGACGCTTGTTTGAATCTTGTTTGACAGACGCTGCTCGTGCTGAGTTCAGGGTGGTGGAGCCGGAGCGGCTGATGGAGACTCTGCTGCTGCTGCGGATGGACGGAGTGGCGAAGAGCGTGCTGCGCGCCGACGTCACGGTTTACAGGGTTAAGGGGGCGGGGCTTAAGCAGACTGCCGGTCCCGTTGAAGAAGACTAAATCCAATTTTCTAGCAGGCTGGGCAGCTCACTGATCCGTTCACTGACAGAGGCAGGGCTCGGAACAGAGGGAGAAAGAATGAGGGGGCAAGAGAGGGAAAGACAAACAGCAAGATGAGGGGAATTATGTAAGATCAGCAACGAATGATTAACAACCAAACGCTTTGAGTCACTGAGTTTGTTGGTTACTTGCAACCGCATGCATGATATGTGCCTGCACCATATTGTAGGCTATAATAACTTCTCCTCCCTCTCTCACCCACACAAACGCTCACACCCACACACCGGCTGCACAACAATTGAAAGTGCTGACTCATGGGTTAGAAGGAAAGAATAAAGGTGATAGCAGAGAAAGCACAAAAGCTGAGTACCAACAGCTGCTATAGGACTGTGAGCCTTTAAGTCAAGAGAACCATAAACCAATATGGTATAATGACACATCATATTAAATATTTCAATATTTAGGCTACTATAACCACAGCTGTTTGTAGTAATTTTGCAAAATTGCAAAAAAAAAAAAAAAAAAACATTTATAAATATCTTTTCCACATTGGGGCCTGTGGGAAAGGCATTTATAAGTGGTGAACATAGTTAAAGATTAGTAACCTCTGTAAGATATCAGTCCAAATATATGTCATGAACACAGTCAGTCAAGAGGGATAAATACGTGGATTTGTAAAGTTGTAGATTCAATTAGAAATTCCTGCGGTGTCAACATGCTCACTGGGTTTTCAAATCCCTTTTGTAAGGCAAGGCAAGGCAAGTTTATTTGTATAGCACATTTCAACAACAAGGTAATTCAAAGTGCTTCACATAAAACCATTAAAAGCATCAAAGCATAAGGCAAAAGAAAAGGAGATTTAAAAACAAGAACATTCATTGAAACAATAAAAACAGTCATTAAAAAACAGTGTAAGAAATAAAATACAGTAGTAAAATGCAGAAATGCAGGAAATTGATTAATATATTAATTGAATCTGGTTCAATTAAAGGCAGCAGCAAACAGAAAAGTCTTCAATCTTGATTTAAAGGAGCTGAGGGTCTCAGCAGACCTGCAGCTTTCTGGGACTTTGTTCCAGATATGTGGAGCAGAAAAACTGAACGCTGCTTCTCCATGTTTAGTTCTGACTCTGGGAACAGCAAGTAGACCGGTCCCAGACGACCTAAGGGGTCGGGATGGTTCATAAGGTAGCAGCAGATCAGAGATGTATTTTGGCCCTAAACCATTCAGTGCTTTATAAACCAACAGCAGGATTTTAAAGTCAATTATTTGTTTGACAGAAAGCTAGTGCAAAGACCTCAGAACTGGAGTGATGTGGTCACACTTGTCCTTATAATGACCCTCTTGCGTGTGTGTGTGTGTGTGTGTGTGTGTGTGTGTGTGTGTGTGTGTGTAGAGAGTCAGAGTTGGACAAGTGTATTTGATGAATTTAAGATGGGACATAACTAAAGTGAAAACTTTTTTCTGTTTGTTACTTCTATTGGATATAGAGACATTATTTCCCCAACTGTGTCCATGGATTATCCAGGGATGTTATAACAGAAAGTAACTGTGTTATTAACCTCATTTTCACTATATGTTAGTTTTTTTTAAAGTCTGCAAAGAACATTTCACCTGCTCAGCCCAAGCAAACCTGCAATAATTTGAATCAAGGTCAAATTCCATGTCTGAAACAAGCTGCATTTGGTTTAAATTGAACTTCTAAAAGTAAACACACATGAAGTGAGTATATTTAAATAAAGCTCAGCAATTGTGAGGTAGGCTATACTTGAACATTAGTTGAGTATTTACGTGTGATGTTACTTCCTACAGTTTAGAGTTTAGTTCAGTGAGTATTGTGCTTTTTACTTGGTGACATCTATTTGTACTCTTTAATTATCTGATTAAGATTTTACATACGAAATATGATCGTCATAACAAATATGATGCACTGTTAAAGATAAACAACAGTGGGCTATATTAATGAACCGTGAAACCTTGTAATATAAGTAGTTAAAATGAGCTCAGCCTCAACTTGTAATTGAGTATTTTTACATTATCTAGTCCTAAAATACGATGCCAAATATAGGATATCATCATTTTTATTTCATATTGAGTGTGTGTGTGTGTTCTCATGACTCCTCAGAAAAGGGTATTACGTTCGTTCTTTAGCTTTTCTTCTTTTTTAATAACACTCGTTTTGCCTGATATCAGACAGAATTGTCAACTCATCACTCTCTGTTTCTATGTTCAGTATGACATTGCCTCTACTTTAATCTATTTCCATATTCCACCGGGGGGGGGGAGACCAATGTAGCCACCAGAATCTAACGTCATTTTAAGTTAACAGGTGATGAGTTGACGGTGTTTTAAGAGTGGGGCATAGTGAGTTAAAATAGAAAAACACGGAACCAGTCGACTCTAACTCGGTGGAGTGGGCAGATTCAAAGGTCTGGACCGAAGCAAACTGGTTGTATGATGTTTCATTATGAGAGACAGCTTCAGCGCAACATATTTGCACACGGGAGGAGTTTGCCTTCGGGGCTTTCTGCCAGAAAAGGTTTATTTTAACCCAAAATATGATATTTTCCTAACCTAAGTATGTTTGTTAAGCCATAGGAGTTCCAATAGGACTTCTACCAGAAATCCCGAAGGTAAACTGCCAGCTGCACACCACGTTTGCAGCTAGTTTAGTCGCAGCCAATCAGGAAGCGGTTTACTGGGAGGTCGCTGAGTGTGTTACCAGGGCAACAAGCCACACGAGAGTTGTGAACCGATTTCTATTCACCTGATGGGTAGTAACCTAACGTTAGTGGGAGGTTAGTACTTATTTTATTTCATTACTTTAAGCTGACCCTGACGTTATATAACGGGAAAGACGCAAGGTAGGAAACCGGAACAGTTCAATTAAACGTCGTTAGGAAAGTAAACGGCTATTGAAGACGTTGACAACGCCATGTATTGCCTTACTTAAGCAACTAACGTTACACGTTTTTTGTACCTGTCGTGCCAATTACTGTCAGTCACTTTTTTTTAAATTTCAACAGATACTTCGGCCAACTAAAGTAACATTTAGCGTGAAGTAATTTCCCGCTGAAGCAGCGAGGTTTTAAGGACGCTTTACGTTACACGTTTACTAAAGAGAATTGAACGTTAAACTTGGCTCGATACTGTTAGCCTGTAGCGATAGCAACGTTAGCATCACACCAGGATAAATCATTGTCTTTGATAATTGCGCATTTAGTATACAGTAGGCACTTAATTAGCTCAATCTAGTACTTAATGACACCTCTCATCTCCTCTCTCGTCTCCTCTCTTCCATGTCCTTTTCTCTTTTTTGCAGGTGCTCAAAACACATAAACATGACAGCCATTTCGTTCCCCTCGAGAACAAATGGGGTGAAGAGCAAAGTGTCTCTCAAGCCAAAGAGGGTGAGGATATCATCATGTCTGCTCCTATATTCACACAGAAGCCAGCTAACATTAGTCAGACTTTGAAACTGGGGTTTTCTCATGAATTAACAGGGGCCCAATTCCTCACGACCCACGTTTTGGACATCGTCCCATTCTTTTAAAGAAGCTGCTTCCAATGACAGATTGGCCTAATAATTACCTTGGCTTCTTATAGGGAACAAAAATCAATATCCGACTGTAGAGTTTTGTTGCAATGACCTCAGCTCAGCGATTTTGGGCCTTGGTTGCCTGTGTTTGCAGTAGGTGACAAGAGGAGGAAGTACTTTTACTTTACTTGCAGTTGATTATATTGATTTGAAGTTTGGTGATAGCTAATTTTTAATCATCAAACAAACTTTTCTTTGCTCATCGTCTGTGTGAAAACAAAAAAAATGCAAACACTGATAAGTAATTGAATAATAGCATGAATTAATATCTTAAATATTTCCGGTAGTGGTCCTCCTTATTTCTCGGTATCTATTGCTGAGCGTAACAAACAGTTATGTTAGTAATAAACAATATAAATACGATATGACGATAATACGTAACATTTGCTAAAAGAGAAAAAGAGTGCAACCATTACATCCCTCAGCGTAGTGTTCTGTCGGCTATTACGCCTCCATTTCTCCATGTGAACACAAAACGATTACATTTTAGGAGAAGTCACCATCTAAAAGTCTTTCACAACTTATCATTTTAAAGAATAGTGTTTACTCGAGCAACTTTGTTGTGTCTGAATAATAGAGTGTGTTATGAATACATATCTAACTGGCAGCTATTGAATAATCCATATACAATAACCCCCTCTGCTACATTATTCATTTTGATTTTGAGCTCACGTCCTTCTGACCCAACCTTGAAATAGGCTAAGTGCAGTAAGATGTTTCTCTGCTTCTGGTGCAATGACGAAGAGGTGCCAGAGCATATAGTGTGGAGAGGATATTAACTACAGCCTTCATACGCGCATATGTGTCATAGCTGACAGCTTCAAGGTGACAGTCTGCAGCTCTTGTGCTCATTATCTTTTTCTTTTTTTTCTTCCCATTTTCTCTATCAGTAGTAACTGTCTTGTTTCATGTGGTGCCATACACTGCTGAATTAAGAGACAGGAAACAGGCTATCAGTGCAGTTAACATAATAGCCCGAGCTGCTGTGTGTTTGCAGGTGACTCCATCTGCTTACACCCAGGAGATGTTGCAGTCTACAGAGGAGCGCCTGGCTAGCACCGACAACATGCACCAGCCTCGCATTCTGGAACTGCTGGACATGAGCAACACTACGCATCACAAAGTAAATGACAGCTGAATAACTTGCTATGCTTTCACTATATAATGAACCTTAAACAGGATTGATATTTTACTTACTTAAAGCAAACTAATACCAATCAGCACTTTATATAGACCTCCCGACCAGAGGAACTTTGTTGAAACTATCGAAAATAGCCACTTTACAATGAGCTTACATTGCAATATCGAGCTAAAATCCCTGATTCAACTTTGTTAGTAACTGGAGGGTCCTTCGAAACAGTTAGAATCACTTTGTAAAGAGCTCCAGAAAGTTAGCAGTTGGTTATGTTACAACGAGTCATATTTGCACTGAGGCAAATCTGAATCCATCGTTTTTTGCAGGCATAAATAATGGAACCTAACCAGTTTTTCTGTTGAATGTAATGGAACAAAGATACAGGAGAAGTGCTATTCATCTTGGATTAGAACTGTAACAGTGTATGACAGGTGAATCTACGTCCTCTTCTGTTATTGGGAAGGTCCACTTAAAGACAAAGTATCTGGCAACAATAGCTAAGTGCATTGATAAGGAAACCATGAGGAAAACCAGCTATATCATTCGTTCAATACACCTGCATAACCAGGTGCAGTAGCACAGCTGAAGAACAAAAGGCTCACAACAAACTGATGAGGGTCATCCTTAGTCTCAGTCCAGGAACACATATTAGCCCAAACTATTTTAAAGAGTTGAATCGGCTCCCCGTTTAAGGTAGAATTCAACAGATGAAACTTAACATGGTTTACGAGGTCATTATTATTTTACTGGATATTTTCAGTATGGTCCGAAAACGAGGGCGAGTGTAGCAAACCTGAAACAACCCAAACTAAAAGAATAAAGGAAAGGAAATATGCCCATTTTCTTTACAGTTTTTTAAAACAGCTGAGTAAATAATTATAGCCCAACAGTCTGGCTTCCAAATTTGTGTGTGTTTTGTTTTTACATTTTTACAAATGTGTAATGTTGATATCTTTAGTGTATAAATAGGATGATAGTAGCATATACATGTCATCCCCTTCTCCTGCCTGCCTCCTAGCCGGAATACAAAACTGCAATATAACTATTTCATGTGACGTTATTGCAATATCCTGATGTATTTTAGCACTGTATTCACATTTGTATACCGTATTTTTTAATTTATTAAATCTAAACCACATAAAAACCCAACATTTTGATGAGAGAGCAACCAGAAACCACGGTGTCAGACGGTACAGTGATAGTGAAAGGTTACAGTAAGCTCTGAATAGGATGAGGGACCCGGTTCAACCACTCATTGTGTCATTTGAACTTGAAACACACATTAGAGGCGGGTCCAACACTGTGACGGTGACAACAGCCTACGGGAAAACATAAACGTTGGACAGGAGACGCGCCTCAGCTGCTGGCTTTCATCTTGATGAGAATGAAACCTTGGGGAGTCCACTAAAGCATTTGAGACTGAAATTAATTCATGGAAACCGACATTTGATTTTGACAGCCTGTCTCCTCACTACAAATACTCTTCCAGACTAGGCTGTATAATAAGGTATTCTTCAATAAAATGTTCCTGTGTTATTGTACTTACAGTATACTGTACTGTTGAAGCATTTGTATTGTACACGCACGCTTTAGCACCAGTTACTATAGGTAGTTTAACATATTATATTCGTATGGGCTGAACTAATATGTAAATTAATAGATTCATTTTCAGTAAATGTTGGAATAAATAGATGAGTAGATGAGACCAGCAACATTCAAAGTTCTCATTATATCATCATGAATCCCATAAAGATCATGTGCTGTCCGCTGAGGTCATTAACATTGTACCAAAGCTGCTTCCCCTTAGTCAGCAGAAACGAATTGATGGGCAAAGGGCAACCAATGTGACTGAACGCTCCGTACGTTTAGAGTCTGAATTTTATGGGAGGCCTTGAAGCAAATTGCCATCAAAAGTTTGTGAAATGTCTATTAAATTACTAAATGCCACCTCATCATAATTAGGAGGATCTAACCCCGGTCACATTTTCTTTTTTTGTTGACTTGTCCAATATGCAAATGTGAATCTGAAAAACCCCCACTGTGGGCCACTGCAGGTGATGACCAGCGGGATCTTTTTCAGGTCATCCTGAATGCCACAAAATTGCACACTTTATTATACAGTACAGTATTATTTTTTTATCTGTGACCAGCAGCGATGCAGGAGGAATGACAACGACGCAAGTTTAAGTTTAAGAGGGCATATTTCCCCATACGTGTTATAAAATATTTGTTAAAGGGTCAACCATTTATTCTCTCTCTTGCCGAGCATTGGGTGAGAACATCCATACGATTCTCATGTCTGTCTGTTCAATGTGAAGCTGGGGTCAGGAGCCGGTTAGCTAAACATTACGTAATGACTGGAAACGGGGAAACCGCAAGCCGGGCTCTGCTCGAAAGATATTAAAACTCCACCTGCCAGCACCTCTAAAGCTCACCACTTAACACATTATATCTTTAAAAATGGCAGTTTGACATTTTACAGGATTTACCTGTCTTCCAGTCTTTACACACGGCACGTCAACTAGCTGCTGCTTGTAGCTTCATATGTAACGCACAGTTAAGTGAGTGGTATCAATCTTCTCATCTAATCTTGACCAGACAACGAATGAGCTTTATTTCTCTAAATGTCGAACCTTCTTTTAAGGAATAATGTGTGAGAAACAAATTAAATGAATCAATACGGTACATGTTATCAATATCTTAAAATGACCTGAATGTAATGCATGTTATAGTAGGTACAACAGAAAGTACATATCACATGCTTCAGTGTAGTAAGTGCATATTATTATGCAGTTTTAGCAGGTTTACCATCTATATTAATATGTTAATGAATGATTAAATGTTTTTGATATTGATAAAATCCAGGAAGCCTTACCCATGAAGTCAGAGGAAATCATTAGGTGTGTGTAAATGTGTGTGTGTCTTTAACTACAATAAGATAAACAGTCATCTTTACTGTTACAAAATGACAGGGGTGGTAATGAGTACTGTTTATGTTGTGTTTCAGTTCTCCTTGGTGGCTATGGATCAGCCACTCTTCCAGCCCTACCCGTCTGAGCTGGTCTTCCAGAACTTCACTCCTGCTCAGACCTACATGTTACCTCTGCTGCTCCGCAACATTGACAAGGTGTGTGTGTGTGTGTGTGTTGAATACGTAACAAGTTACCACAACACGGCTGCTGACCTGATGATTCGGTGAAGATTAGCTGGGAATTGGAACAACAGAGCTGTGGCCGTAGAAGAAGAAAAAGATTTACTGTACGTGTGTGTGTGTGTGTGTGTGTGTGTGTGTGTGTGTGTGTGTGTGTGTATCATGGAGTGTGGGTTGTGTGTACGGGGCGCAGAATGAATGGAAAAGGTCATGGGGGAGGAGATTTATCACTGCAATTTGTATAAGACACCATCTAGTAATAATGAATAAATCATCACTTGTGTGTGTTTGTTGCTGTGGGGAGGTTTGCAATTTTGTAAAATTTGTGTGATCTTTTTATTTATTTATTTTTGGTCAAGGTTTCACGACACGTGAAGCTGGAGCTGCCGGAGTCTGAGTATTTCCGTGTGGTCGGACCAGAGGATGCAGGCAGCAGGGTCGCACCAGGACTATCTGCTACCTTCACTGTCTTCTTCACCCCGCAGGAGAACAAGGTACTGGAGACAAAGGAGAGTTGGACTGCTCCGTAGAATAATCACGCACAGAAGGCTGGATTCAGAGAGCACAATGAAGTATGGCGTTAATCTGCATTTAAGAGGCTGATTTAGATTACGTGATTAGATGAAGTTGTAATTGGACCTGTAGGGGAGCAGAGGATGGGATGTGGGTAGGAAATCATTCTAAATAAGCACTCCTAATACGGCAAATGATACAATTAAAATATTAAATATTAAATATATTATATTAAATATAATAATATATTAAAATGGATGCACGTACTTTGTATTCATAGTCTGTGCACAAGTCTCTGACAACGGCTAAATCAGTCATAAGGTTAAGGGTCAAGGGTCAGGCATTAGGTTACACCAGCACATCAGTTTGTCGTCTATTTTACCGATACTGTGGGAGGAAGTGGAAACCAAGAAGCAAAGTTCAACATCAAATTTTTGCAACGTTATATCAAAAGGTAAAATTTTCTCTCTTGTGCGCCATGACTGTTAAACAGATTTTAGTCTTGCTAGCGGCGTGACACCAGGGATGGCAAAGACTGTCGGCCACTATTTGGATTGCCATGAAATTTGGTACATTCATGGTCCCCAAAGATGAACCCCAATGACTGTGGGGTGATTGTTGATGGTTTAGTCGCTAATTGTGTGTTTGTGCTTGTTGCGTGTGTCTCCATCCAGGTGTTAACTTTGAGGAGAGGCAGTGTGGCAGACAAATTTCAAACTTCATTTTTCATTTTTGCCCATCTAGGACTATCCCCACAGGCTGGTTTGTGTGACCGAGCGGGAGCGCTTTGTGGTCCCAATCCGTGCCATCGGGCCACGGGCCATTCTTGACTTTCGCGACGAGCTCCATTTACCCGTCTGTCCCGTGAAAGCCTCCACAGAGAGGACTCAGCTGGTCCGCAACATAGGAAACGGCAGGGCCAAGTTCATGCTAGACACACAGAGGTGAGAGTCAGTACAGGGTGGGCTTATGTGTGAGTGATTTCACCCATTATATTTAATATACAGCATACATACACATTTAATGTGTATGCACTAACCAAAAATCACAACTTGAAATTCAAACATTTTGCTCAGCAAAGTGTATTACTGTAAACACATTTAATTAACAGTTACAGTAATTACTATTGATTACAAGTTTTATTGAACATTTCGGATTCTTCTGCCAGTTTCTAAAACAACATTGAACCTTGGCCAGTATAAAGACGCCAAGCCTTAACTTCTGTTTTTTTAAATTTATTTCCACCTTGTGAAATTCTATTCCATTATCTTATCCCAGCCCTTTCTCAGTGACCCCCTCCTGTGGGACTCTTGATGAGGGCGAGAGCATGCAGGTGACTGTGGATTTCAGCCCCATGACAGTAGGAGTCCACAGCCAAGTGCTGCTTCTGCACTACCACACAGGTGAGAAAGAATCCAGGCCTCTGAAAACATACACAGCAAACCGGTGACTCAAATATCTAAAGGAGACTATATGACCACAGCATCTGATAAAGCCAGTGTCAATTGTACAGTAGCATCATATCCTGATTCTCCAGAGCTGTAGAGAAATATTCAGAGCGGTCGTGATTAGCAGAAGCAGATTTTTTTAATAATAAGAATGACCTTGTTGCAGTGTGTTTCTCATCAGCTGTGTTATTTTCCCACGGAAATGTAATTCTCTTAATGCCTCCACAGAACAGAGGAGGCGAATCTCTTATTGTCGGAACGTGTCTGTCACTCCACTTGTAAACACCCTGTCACACAACTAGATTCAATTTGGCTTCATCAAAATCTGACAATTGTATCAATGTACCACGCATATATACGCGCACGCACAACATGAACCCACACTGTGAAACTTAAAACTGTGTAAGAACTTCAACAAAAGTACACCGTCTCATTATATCTGTTACAGCGTGGCTCACACACGCACACACGTGCATGCAGCGATCACACACACACACACACACACACACACACACACACACACACACACACACACACACGCACGGACGGATGGAAGCAGATATTTTCTACAAGAAAAATGTTGCATGATCAGCAGTGTCAAATGAAATGGAACTAAAAGGATGAACGTGTTTACTATAATCACTGAGGTAAACGCCATAATGAGATTCTCCTTCTGCAGCAACGGTGACCCTGAAGCAGAACGGGACTGCTAAACAGGGCGCACCATCGGCACACACACACACACACACACACACTCGCACACACACAAAACAGTGGTTACTGTAGTTTCCTTAGTCTAGTTCAGGCTTTGATGATAACGTCTTTCAGACAGGCGTTCACTTTAGTCGTACGAGAAGCCACTTTGTTTCACTCTGTACTTTCAATATTACTGCATGTGTGTGTTTTATTGCGTCTCCGTCACGTGTGCAGCCCCTATCAGTGTTTACCATCAGCGCCACGGACCTAAATGTAGCCGCCCAGCGCAAATAGATTTCCCCAAGCTGGTCCAATTAACCGCGCATCGTCTCCTTTCTAATTGTCTCCTTTTCGCTGCTTGATTTAAACCCGAACACGTTGTGTGTGCGACTGTGTTTGCTCGTATGAATATGGCTGCTTTTTGATTCAGAAGGATCCTTTATCCCTGGGTGTGGCTGATAAGTAGATCGATAGACAGCTAGTGTTGGTATGTGTGTGTGTGTGTGTGTGTGTTTGTGTCTGCTTGAGGCCGTGAAGTCAAAGATGACATGAGTAATGGTGATGAGAGGAGAATGTATAGAGACCTGAGGGAGTTGGACTGTGATCGCGGTGAGGATATAGCTCAGGATGACTGTGGTGTATTGTGTTTACTGCTCAGTGCAGCTTTCCTTGAGGGCCTGTTATTTCTCCTCTCCTCCTCTCCTCTCCTCTCCTCTTCTCTCCTCTTCTCTCCTCTCCTCTCAGATTACGTCTTAATGGACTTAGCATACACCAACCCGCCGCTATACTGTATCTCTGTCTCTGCCTTATCTCCGCATAGTGCAGCGTTGGATTTGAAAATCGGGCAGACTGGCTCCACCTTTTGCAAATGACTCCTCCAAGCTCGATATATTATTTGCATTCTAAACAAAAACAGGTGACTGGCACTGCTGACACACCAGTGGGACTGACAGTGTAATGCCAGTTCAGGTATCTCTAGTAATCCTAAAAGATGTTGCCATTCCATGGAAGGAATAACTTGACCAAACTGCTTTTTGCTTATTCGATTGAGTTTGTTCTGCTGGAGGGACTCGCCTCCGCTCAGTGCAGTAAACTAATGAATCATTTATCCTCCGTTCTTTTTTTAATTTGTATTATTCATCAAGTCTTTTATTTAATGTGGCATCATGGCATGATCAAACTGCACTATGCCTCCCAACTATGTGTTTTTGTGATAAATCAGCTCATTTGTAATAATACGTGTACTTGTACTGTAGTTTCACACTCAGCGGTCACGCCACACTCAGCAGGGTAGCCTGCACAATTAGCCAGACTCCTTGACATCAAAGGCAAAAAAGACGAAGCTTTTGACTTTTCCTGTTAGCACACAAGGGGATCAATTAGAGGTGAAGGGAGAAAAGTTGCTGAAGAAACATCAGTGCATTGCGAAAGATGATTTAACTGGAGCTTGTTAGGAAACGTGTTTTTCTTTACTCAAGCTCACCGATTTGAACACCTTACAGGAAATGATAAAGGAACATTTTGAATCACTCTGCAATCATTTAATGTTGAAAAAAGGTTTCAATGCAAAACCTCAGCTTAGTGTGACTCAGCAAACTAGACCCACTTTTAGTCTGTTATGATGGGAGCAATTAGGCTCACGTTTCATGTGCACTCCCTGCTAAACATAAATAATAGCAAACATGACAGGCTAGGTTGATTAGCACGGGGGGGGGGATGCTTCAATCAGAGCCAAATCAGCTTTACTCCTGACCCGAGCCGGCCACATCAAAGTCTCCTCCAAAGCTAATTTCAGCTGCACAGCTCCCCAAAAGTCAGGTAGAGTAATCCCATGGTGCTAAACAAATACAGTAGAACAGCTGTGCTTGCGTTCACCCCTTGTTAGCTATGCATCACCTGGGTGGATATTCCACGCTGCACTACACCCATTTATACTGTGAAGCACTGTGTGTATATGTGTGTGTGTGTGTGTGTGTGAAAATTGAGAAGCATGCTGACATGACAATCATTCAGTAGTAGTCCTGAAACTCTACCACAGCAAAGTCACCTTGTGGAAAAAAGAAGTGGCTGTTTATGATTGGATAACGGTGGAAACGAGCTGAACTGTTCTCACTCTAGATTTGTACTCATCCATTTGGAGTTCATCGCTTCATTATTGGGATGCCATTCCCCAGAGCAGAGAGATCTGATCAAATATTTATTTATTTATTGCACTTTAATGATGATTGTTTTCTGTAAAAAACATCAGGATCGCTAAAAAAGATATCTGCGTTTCTTTTGTGTGTGTGTGTGTGTGTGTGTGTGTGTGTACTGTAAAAGTATTCATTCTTTCTTTTCTTTAGTGTACCTTTTTAAGGACCTGAGGTGCTGACTAGCTATGTAAACAGGCAGGTCTGCTTGAAGGAGCTGCAACTAACGGGGCTCGGCAGCATTAAGCTTTTATAATAGGAGGGCCAGCCTGGGTCCAGAACACCACTTAACAGCCCATCAGGAGACTATCATTTTTAATTTAGCACCTTTCCCTGTCTCCCTCACGCTCATGTATGTTTCAGGTCAGCATGCTGCTAAAGGCTTCACTCTGCTGAGGGGCTCGTTGGAGACTTCAGTCACGTATGTGTGTGTGTGTGCGCTAGTGTGTCGTGTGTCAATTTGCATGTGCACCACAGTGCTTAACACGGGTACACACTGCGTCTTTATTTCCCGTTTGTCGGTTGAGAGCAAGTGCCAGCTTTGAAAAGTAATAGCTTGCTCAGCTCACTTGTTTTCCACCACGGTGTGTTAGACAATCCTTGTTCCATCTTAAAAGTGAGCAGAGAGTCTGTGCTGCTCCAGTAACCCCCTCCCTCCCTCCATCACACACACACACACACACCCCTCTCCTCTGTCACTGTCGCTGATTTAAATGAAAAGACGGACAGCTCTTAGGGAGCGCTGAGGCATCTGCTTTGACAGGGCTCTAGCACCGAGGGGACTTCAGCACAGCAGCCTTTTAGAAAAGCGGCACGCTCACACACACGCTCACACACACACACACACACACACACAAACAGCAAATAGCTGCACACAAACACACACGCTCAAAAGAACAAGCATGTGCGTCCGCACGCGTACTGCAGAGCTGCCGTTTGTGCAGTAATCAAAGGTAGCTGAGGGGGGTTGAGAAGTTCCCTCGCTGTGAAGATAGAGACATTATGGGAGGAGAAAGCGAGCAGAGGGAGGGGGGGGGTGTTTGGCGAACAGCGATGATGAAAGCTTAGCAATAAGCTGCAGCTCTCCCTGCCTGTCAACTGCTGTCATAGCATCCGGATGCTGGGAGATAATTGCTTTTTCTCTCTCCGTATACTCCAATTCCTCTTTCTCTCTCCCTCATTTCCTTCCTATCACTCATCCTCCGTCCTCTGTGTTGTCTTTCCTCTCTTGTCCTCCATCCGATGATATCTCGTCTTTCTCGCAAAGTGAAAGCAAAGACCTGTGGAACTGTGCCAGGCGTTTTTATTTTGTTTTTGTATTCCCCCCCCCCTTCTGCCTCTAGGTACCGTACATGATGGAAATCTCAGTGATAATTGGATCGTTGGAAGCACTGCTTCAATTTGAATATGTGTTTTTGCGGGAGGGGGCGTATGGTCATTGCTACCAGTCTACATTCTTCACAGTCTGGTTTTTTTTCTTTCCCCTCAACCAGGACTGGGGTCAATTTGTTGTTGATGCATCTGAAAGCTAAATAAGTCACACTGGGAGAGTTTTAATTCCACTGAGGCTTTCATGTTACTCAGAAATGAGGTATCTCAGCTACCAATTAGTAATCACGTCTCTGCTCACTCTGCCCAGGCAGAGATGGATTAAAAGCTCTCCGATGTGCAGTCTGCATTGAGCAGGACTAGAAACCTAATGGGACGGCTTATCTTGTGAAAAAAATTGTTTTTTTATTTTGGATTGATCTCCCAGAAAGAGCCCGTGCTTTGATTGATTCCTCCTTGAGTCTTACTTCTCTTGGTCTGGTGGTGTGTAGGTCCTAATGAAGTGTAGTGTCTTCATTGAATTGCTTGTGTGCTGTTGTTGTCCAGGTTTTAGTGAGTAACAGAAGATCCTTGATCTGACTGAGAGAGAAAACCATGTATTTGTTGTTGGATATGTGGAGCACAAACTTGGACTGTGTTAAGTTTCAGCCCTTATGAACAGGCTGTTAGCGTGACACAAACAAGAGCAAGAGATAACGGGAATGGGTGGATTCCTCCTGATGTTTCTGTCGTCATCCTCGCCGCGTCCAGTAAGATGCAAGTGTCATTCGTTGTCACTCTGGGAACAAATCAGTGACGAGGGAAATCTTGTGCTCACTGAGTGTGTTCATGTGTGTGGGTGAGACTAGTGTGACACGAACCCAACCGCATTTAAACAGACACACACGCACATTCACAGCGAGTGGCTGCAGGTTTCCCGCCAGCATAACCACCTGCAAACGTAGACATGTCGATGATGCAAAGGCAAAGAAAGTACTCGCTTCAGATATTTAATAGTTGCAGGCAGGCAATAAATGTTACAGTTATTCTCATTTTTGTAAGTCAAGTTTTAATTTTTTTCCGGCAATCTCATGTGTGAGGGACCGAGCTGGCTGGCATGAGGAGTCACAGGGTGGATTTTCAAAATAAGGGTTTAATTAACCCAAAACATGAAAGAAACAATATAACAAAATAAAAGAAGTTCAGGGACCATAAAAGGGGTCAGCTGAACCGAACTAAACTCAGGCCATAACATAAACAGAATAAAACTAAACAGACTGAACAATGACTAAACAAAAGATCCCAGACGGGAACATATGGCAGATCAGATCAGAACTGCAGCCCTGAACCTGCTGTCCTGGGCCCCAATGACGCCGTGCCCTTCTTTCTTTAAACATCGTTGGACTCACATCAGTGGAAGCGCACTGGTGCAAGTTCAGTACTCAAAGTCTTTTGCACCGTCAAACCAGAGTCAGGTTTCTAATCGTCGGCCAAGAGCAGGATGTCGCTCACCATCCTGCAGAGCAGCCGTTCAGTCGAACAAACCTGCACTCCAGAGCACTCGTGACTTGTAATTCATGTCGCTTGGTTCTGTAAAGTAATTAAAGGCAAGTCCCCGCGGTTGTTTTGGCTAGAGACACGCTCTGGAAAGCACAACAATCACAATGAAATGAAATGAAACCCATTGGACCCGTTGAGTTGCACAGTTTGCAAATGAGAAAAATCCCCGATGTCACTTTGATCTAATTTTTTTCATTTCTAGTAATTTGATTGACCCAGGTATCTGTGTTTTCATATACACTAGGGAAATGACATATCAAAGCAACGATGAACCACAGAGACATGGAGAGGAGGGCCCTGTGGTGTTCTGAGTGTTCACAATTCAGGTACACAAATATAAATAATCTCAGGATGCGCAGTGTCTTCCCGCAGGCTAAAGCCCCAGTCCTTATGATTTGAATGTAAACAAACATTCACTTAATTTACATAAGCCCTCGCTCTTGGTGGCTTTATACAAAACCTTGTTTTGCATATTGTTTTTGTTGCTGCTCTTTGTTGCTCATACTCCCGCTGTTGGAAGTGTGCACGCTGTGATGGTGGCTCCTTGTTACCACTACAGAGACTCATTAGATGTCCTATTAACCATTAAGGTATTTTGTCTCTTATGGTTTTAAAGCGTTAAACCAGTCCTTGAAATGTGTTGTATTGTGGGAAATCATATTTACCTTAAGTCTAGTACATTAAGCATTTCATATTTATTTCAGCCCTAATGTGTTTCATAATACTGCAACTCAACTCTCCTTGGCAGCATAATGGAGTGTGTTGTTTTGGATGCCAGTTTTCCTGGATATTTTGAGAGCCATTTTAATCTCCCTGCGACGCCTCCTTTTTGATCCAGATCCAGTGTTTCAAAGCTAGACTTTGCAGCGTGTCCTTGACTCCGCTGTGGGTTTCTGCTCTATCGACTGCCCACATTAGGCCTGAGCCTCCCGGAGGAGCAGCAGTGGCTGCTCAGTGGGTATGTTTGAATACCGTGTAGTCGGTGCATGGCAATTGCTTTAATTAACGCATTAAATGATCCCAACGCGCTATGCTGTACAGTAGTATATATACTACTGTACATATACTACTGTACAGAGAAATATTTAGGCCTAATATTTAAGATCTATCTATTTTAATTGCATATAGAATTTCCATCCATTTGGATTACATAGTTTTAACATAATCAAACTAATATACTTCATAATATTCAGGTTTATGCAATAAACTCAATTTACTTAAAATACATACAATTGATGTACTTTTTATTAATAAACCCAATGTGTTTTAAAATTTATATTCACATATTTCAAATATTTTTCCATTCCCCCCACATTTACAATATCTAACTACTACGATGTACAATACATAAAGATTGAACAATTTATTGGCGTGTGGTAAGTTTGGCCATTTTAAAAACTTTGACAGCAATACAGCATCACTATAACACGACTACAGTTGCGTTCCATTTGAGTTTTGTATCGCCTATTGATTATACTTATGTGTCACAGATTTGAACTATAAAAACCATCTGCCATGTTTTTTTTGGCGGTGATTTTTGGACTGCAATTCGGACAATTCAGTGTGTGGCATCAGTTTAATCCTGTGAGTCCTGAAGACGTGGTCACTTTTAAATGTGAATTGTTTGTTTTAAATGATTCCCTGAACGATAGTGTTTTGATAAAAGCACTAAACGTGTTCAAGTTCAAGACCTTTATTTGTCCCAGAGTGGCAATTGGTTCTATCACAGTAGCAATAAAGAACACCAACACAGAGCAAGACACACAACATAAAAAACAAAACATATATAACCACACATAAGAAATAAAAGCTTAAAACGTGAAGTACAAAAGTTACAATATTAGTAAAAAAAGAAAGAAAGAATGTGTACTTTACAGAGCAGAGCAGTGACATGGCAGTAGTCTGTCGGGTGTAATAGATTCAGCCTTCTTTGACGACTGTTTGTTGTTCAACTGAGATAGTTAATACTGCGGAGGGACTTTCATCACCTTTGCCAATGAGTTTTTCTGTTTGAGGTTGAGCGATGGATACCAGCAAATGAATGCAAAGGTGAAGACCGGCTCAATAAAACATTTATGAAACCGTGTCATCAGGGATCCGTTAACCTGGAACCTGGCTAGCTTTCTCGACATCTTTCCATTAGTTATAGTGTTTGCAGGAGTTGCGTGGTGAAACTCTGAAATCAGTGCACTATGGTTTTGTCGCATTCAATTCGAATAAAGCTTTTTCACAAAAGTTATTCAAAAAATGGTTTAAAACAGGACCATGAGACATTTCAGCATTGCTCGACATGCTCGCTATAACCTTTGTCGTCTGCAAACTTCACAATGGGCTGGTTGCCTAACTCACTACGACAGTCATTGGTGTACATTGGCAACGCAGCCTTGGAGAAAGAGCCAGTTGATGTTACAGACAGTCCAGAGATACATTCTTTGAGTTCAGTAGAGTTATAGTAGCTCCCTGCACACATCTGTTTTGTTGATACAAGGTTCAGTCCTGCCCAGTAGTTCTTTTTCTATCAATCGCCGGTTCGATCCCGGTTCCTCCAGTCCATGTCGATGTGTCCTTGGGCAAGACACTTGCTGCCCAAACTGCTGCCAAAGGCTCCAAAGGCTCTGCCATCGGTGCGTGAATGTGTTCAGTCCTGACGGGCAGGAGGCACCTTGCATGGTAGCCGCTGCCATCAGTGTATGAATGGGCGTGAATGATGGCATGTAGTTAAAGTGCTTTGAGTGGTTAGAACACTAGTGAGGAGCTGGACAAACTTAAGTCCATTTCCCATAACTCATGAGGTCACTGCAGCTGGGTGGCTATTGTAGATTGTTTCCATAAATTTAGGAACCGATGATTAAATACATAATGAAAAATAAAGCCTAATTGATCAGCCCAGTGGATCAGCAGATGGCTGTAAATGTTGTCGGGGCGAGGGCTTGAATGCTTAAAGATCTTCACATCAGTGCAGAAAAGGCAGAGATGAAATGACCGGAGTGCAGCAGAATGCCTTTTGAAGCAGCAGTTTCTTTGCTGAAGTTCTTGGACATCAAATCTTAGAATTAAACTGCCTAGCCTAAATTGTTATTGCTCAAGTTTGCTTTCAACCCTTCGGTTTTAACACAGTTTGGCCACTCCTTAGTCTACTTTTGTAAAGAGTATAGTTCAGTGAGATTACCCAGTTTAAAATTGAATTTGAGATGTTTGCTTTCCCAAGGTTTGCTGTTGGGGTTGATCTTAACTACCTAGTCAGGAATAACAGTGTCCACGAGCTGACAGCATGTTCCCCATCTGTAGGCATGTGCGATGCTGTAAATTATGTAAATCTAGAAATACATGTGGGCTTATCAGGGTACAGTTTTGTGGCTTTACAGTGTTACATAGATTGTCTACTTGTCTGTGCACAGTAGATAGTGCATGTGCAGTCAATCAACTTCAACATATCCGGATAATAAAGACGTCTCACCATTGCCCACTCTATTTGGATGGCTGATATATTTTTGAGGTAAACAATGTCTCCTCACTCCTCACCTTACTTATTCAGAAGATTCCTTTGAACAGGATGCAGAACATACTCAGCTGTAAGAATCATTGCTTTGTTGGCCTTCATCCCACAACTCATGTGACCCACGTCAGGGAGCAATTAAAAGCTCTGAACCTTAAAAACACTCCATGTCTCCTGCCCAGGTGAAGATGTGTACATCAGCTTGTGTGGCGCTTGTGAGGAACTGAACATCCGTCTTGAGCCGGACTCTGTTCTGTTGAGTCAGACCTACATTTCCTTGGCCAGCGTTCGCAAAGTATTCCTCACTTACAGCAGTGAGATCTCTCTGAAGTACTGCTGGACGACGTGGCCCAGCCTGCAAGAGGAGGCTCTGAGCTTATTGAGGTATGCAGGAAGGTGTTTTTAATAGGAAGTGTGGGCTGTATAAACTCCCCCTTTTTGCTACATGTAGCAAGTAGAATTACCTGCTGTGTTCTTTTTTTCCTGTGTTGCCAGAAATAGCTCAAGTGTCCATCACTTTCTTTCTGCCCGCGACACTTTGTTCTTCTCTCTGCCTCTCTTTATCTCTGATCCTCCTCGTTTCTCTTTGTTGTTGTTTTTTTTGTTGTTTCACCTTCGCCTCCCTTCCTTCATTTCTCCAGGGAGAGCACGGCGCTCCCACAGACGGAGGAGGGCGAGAGGGAGCGGCTGCTCGTTCAGTGCGAGTCTGACCCCGCGGCGATCCATCGCCTCCCACTGCTGTCCAGAGCCCTGCAGGAGCGCCGAAGCCAGGCAGTGAGGGACTATCGCCTGACCCTCTCACACAGCTGCATCACTGTGGAGCCAGCGGTGTGTTCATGTGTGTCTGTGTTTTCCGTGTCTCTCCATATCCCTCTTGCCCAATATCTCTCAGTACCCTACCCATGGATTTGCAGCTCACTTTCCCTCCTTGTTAAGACTGTACTGCATAATCGAATACTTGAATTCATGCGAAGGGGGTTATCGTACCTCTATACAGCCTTCTCTGAATTAGCAGGGTTTCAGTAGCTGGTCCAAGAGCGGGTTGGCTGTTTGAGACGGGGTCCTCAGGTTAAAAGGACACTAATCGCTACATGCTACGCCAAAAGATCGGATTTGAGATGAAATTTGTTGCAGAGAGTTATGTTTCAGCTCTGCTGTTCAAACGTAAATCTGAACCGACTCCTCAGTCGCAGGTCACGGGGGCTGGGCCCTTTCTGCCTAAGGACCTTCAGGTAGCCTTACCTGTTCTGACACCGCCATCCACCCCCACTTTTTTGCCAGTGTCTCCTCCGCTTAAATCAGCCAGGTTCCCTGGGCAGAGGGAGAGAGGAGACGGAGAGAAAACAGAAGGAGAGAGAGAGAGAGAGAGTGCGGGGGAGGGAGAGTAAACAGTCTGTAGGCCAGTCCCAACACAAACTTTGAGAGGGAGAGAAACACAGCAGTCTACACATGCGTAAACCCACCCACGCACACACACACACACAACAAGATTCCTGTGTGTGTGTGTGTGTGTGTGTGTGTGTGTGTGTGTGTGTGTGTTTGTGTGTGTCTGGAATTGAGGCTTGATAAATAAACAGTCAACTTCCACATTGTTTACCACACTGAAATGAATGCAGTTGAACTTCCATTAAAAAAACGCCGCTAACATAAACTATGAATGGTTTCCTAACCAATCTATTTTTTTTTCTCTGTGAGAGAATATGCATTTACAGTGAGTGCATCCCTGCTTTATATCCTTTAAGTAGAATCACTCATTATTTTTCTTCCTCAGGAGGGGGAAATATGGCCCAAAACCCCGGCACAGTTCAACATCGTCTTCAAGCCTGAGGAGGCCAAACTGTACCAACAAACCATATATTGTGATGTCACAGGTCAGTGCCTAGAAAACACACATTTAGGATTCACATAGCAAAGCACAGTATTGCACGTATCTTTACGACACAGCAACAACCAAACAACGTCAGAGTTTTAGCCATGCCATGCTAGCTGCAATTTGTTCCAGATCTCAACAACTTTTAGATGGATTGAGGTTAACATTTTTGTTTTCGTGGAAAGTCTCAACATTTATTAGATTGATTGACATGACAAATGGTACAGACATTCATGTTCCCCTCAGGATGAATTATAATAACTTTTGAATCCTTAATGTTTCATCTTGCACCGTCATCAGGACAAACTTTAAAGGTATCCAGTAATTTGGTCCAAATACAGTCTTTGGCCCTGACAAAACTTTTTAGGGTTTGTTCGTGCGCCAGTAAGTGCAGACCAGATTTTACTGCGCATGTGTTGTACCCCATTGATATGACACTTGAGCAGTAGTAGAAATAAGAAAACCTCTTTAAAAATCCCATTGATTGTTTTTAAGACCCAGATACACTATCTGACATGGTGTGCCTGAATTGGTCCAGAGATCTCAAACAGTGTACACACATAGGGTGAGTTTTCAAGGTTATCTTTCCAATGTTGAAATGAAGATAAATTTAGATTTGAGTTTGGGTAAGGGTGTTATTTGGGATCAAATTATGACTAAATGCCGTTAGGTTGAAGGTCAATGTGTATTACGGCTTACATTTACAGCAATTTTATAGCAACACACACACAGACACACACACCTACACACACACACACACACACACACACACACACACACACACACACACACACACACACACACACACACACAAACTTGGCTTGTTTCTTGAACCAATAGCCTCTTTTGTTTGTTCTTCAACTTCTTGGAATTGATTGTTTTAACGACTTTAAGCAGACTGTACACTCCTGCTGTAAATCAATAGTTTTGGTTTTCTCATAAAAGATTCTCCTTCCCTCAGTGGGTTGGTTCAGACAAAGGTCACACAGACAAGGCTGGGTAGAAAACCATGTCTGTGTGTTTGATTATTGTCAGAGAACAACAAGGTCTCTTTTCATGTTCCATTTTCCTTCAGCGTGCGACACCCACAGTCAAACTTGGCGCCGCAAATGAACCAATCAATCCGCCTAAATGCTTTAACCACTGGATGACTTGTTGCTACTTCATCTCATTTTCATATTAGACAATGCAGTCACGGGGACCCAATATATGCATCTCAACCCTGTGGTAGTAAAAGGCTGTTGGGGAAATTTACATGTGGCCGTCACGTGTGTCTTCTGAGCCGGAGGCCAGATTTACATTCATTTCCATGTTTTCTGAGGCAGTTGACGACCTGACCAGCCTAGGTAAATGACAGCCCAACTGGAGATTACCGGGCCCTGATTGAAGAAGCTTCAGAAGCTTTTTCAGCAGAACTGCGGAACTCTAATGGCCTTTAATACGTTCACAGTAGAAAGAAGCTGCAGCAGAGTGAATGTTTAGCAAGTATTCATTTTTGTATTTTTGTTCTTCTGATTTAGCACTTTAAACTGCAGACATAAAAACAAACTTTGCCAGTGACCTGAATAAAATCCCAATATATTTTCTGGGGTTACTCTGTCTTTAACTTTGTTGTGAATCTCTCCCTGTCTGTGTCTGCACTCAGGCCGTGAAGCTCGGTTGCCTCTCACAATACACGCCGAGGGCATGGGACCTAATCTCCAGCTCAACTATGACCTGGTGGACATGCAGAACGTATTCGTTGGTCACAAAACACGTTATGAAGTAAGAAAGGTTCAGCCAAAGTCAACAGTTGTTTCCCTTCAGTCAGGACACGCTAGTAATGTGATGAGCTTGATGTATATCGTACATAAACCAAAGCGTGTGTCTCCCTACCGTTTACAGTGAGTCTGTGCATTTAGTTCAAGCTAAACAAAAGTTGACAAAAATCAAATTCTAGAAATTTGCAATGCAATGATGTATGCAGCCCCTGTATGAAGCGTTTAATGCCGTGTTTTGATCAAATCTAAGCTTATTTGTGGCTGAAGTCTTTGGTAGAATTCTATGTTGTCATATTGTAAAGCGTTCATGTTATTTTGTCCACTTGTGTGGAATATAACATACCCTCGTTGGGCGTCTGTTCTTATAAATAAGCTTCAACTGTTAGACTAAACCAACAGAACGGTTGATACAATTCCCAACATAAAAACAACTCATGCACTTATCTCTTTTTAGTGCTGCAATAAAGTCATCAAATGTTTCCTGCAAAAATTCAAATTAGGCTCTCAGAGCAGAGTCATTTTTCTATTAAAGCTGAACTCAAGTGGCCTCACAAAACGTGAATGCAGCACATGTTTATTCCTTGATTATTGACGGTGGGGCTCATTAAAGAAAAACATGACTGGAGTGTTGAATCAGTGGATCCTTCTTTTTTGTCCAGGTGCAGGTTCACAACAGAGGACTGATTGATGGCCGTTTCAGGCTGTCAGGCCTTGACACCACTTTCGGCCGCTGTTTCTCCTTCAGTCCTGAGGAAGGTGTTGTTCCCCCCGGGGCCTTCCAGACTGTGGATGTCACCTTCCACAGTCGCGTCTTGGGAACCTTCTCCGAGGACTTGCTGCTAACTGTCACAGGACGACCGCAACCGCTTACCGTGACTTTCAGGTGAAGTTAGCGAGTGAAGGTAGCGAGTGTAGTGACGAGTGATGACGGAACAATCAGATTTGTCCATGCAAATATAAAAGTAGTAACTAATCAAAATACCAAGGCTCCTCATGACTCATGTTTTTGTCTTCTTTTTTTTCAGTGGTTGTGTCATTGGTCCTACATTCCACTTCAATGTTTCAGAACTCAATTTTGGAGATGTAGCCTTTGGTGAGTTATTTATTTTTGTATTCCTACATAAGATATATTATATATATATATATATATATATATATATATATATATATATATATATTATAAACCAGAGAATCACAACATTCAGAAAAAAAGGTCCTCCTCTTCAGCCTCCTCTTTATGTTCCCATTTTTTCCATCTTTGTCATCTGTCTCTATGGGCAGGTTACCCACTAAGATTGCGTTGTTCCCTCATCAACACCTCCTTGGTGCCAATGACCTTTGCCCTGCGTGTCCTGGGAGACGGGTTGGGTTCTCCCAGTATAAACAGTGCCCAACAGGCGTCCGAAGTGTCCCGGAACAATTGGGGAGGCAGTGCTGCTAGAGACCTTCATGCACGGCCTGTGGAGTTCACCGTCACACCTGCTGCGGGCTCTGTGCGTGCCTTGTCAGATGTCACCATTCAGGTACAGTAAATTAACAAATGGAGGGGGAACCAATTTAAAGTCATTGATTTATCCTGGCAGCATACATGAATTACAGGTCTGTAAAGATGTGTGCTGAAACTGCACAGTATGTGTTTGTAAAAGTATGCCCATATTTTCAGCCTTAAGTAGAGCTGCAAATGAAACAAGCAATGCATCCCCTCAAATAAGATATCATACATTTTCTATACAGAAAATTCAGTAGGTAATACTTACGTATGTCAAAAATATTTATTATTGAAGCAAAACTTGTCTTTAGAATGTAGATGAAGTCTGCTCGGCAGTGGTGATGTTATCCTCTGCCTGGCATATTAAGCAGTTTGCCCACCATGGTCAGTTTCACCATAGTTGAAGCAACAGTTCAACGTTTACATAACCTTCCATAAAACCTCAACTTTTTTATTTTTATTTAGTTTTTCTTTTACATATTTTGCATGGATTAAATATATGAGATAGAACATGTTCATTATTGAGCTTTGGTTGAGCAACTACTAGCTTTTGGTGCTTTACTTTAGACAGAGCCAGGCCAGCTGGTTCCCCCCGTTTTTATGCAAAGCTAGGCTCCCGGCTTCATATTTAGTACATACATACAGTATATATAGACATGAGAGTGTTATCGGTCTTCCCAAAATAACCGTAGGTGAAATTTGCCTTAAAAGTTCTATTTACTTGTTTTTCAGAATGACACTCTTTGTCATTCGACTTACTTTGGTAGAAGGACTTGAGAGGATTAAGTTGTCCCGCGAGGCATTCATCACAAACTCTACAGCAATAAACTAAAAACCTACTAACTGAAATTGTGTACACGGTCGTTGCTCACTGTATGTTTGGAACCTTGTGTGGTCTTATACTATATCTGTGTATTGCATATACAGGTGATGCTGTGCTCCAACACAGTCAAGAGATACAGGCTGGCGCTGGTGGTGGATGTTGAAGGTGTCGGAGAGGAGATCCTGACTCTGCCTATCAATGCCAGGTCAGACACATCTACAGATGTGAACGTACACACACTGTTTGATGTGTACACAGACATACTCATACATCAGTTTACATTTTGTGCTGTCTCGCAAGTTGCAGCAAAATACTTATTGTTAGAGGTATTATTTAACTTTTCAGAAAATCCTTGTTATTTATGGCACCGGTGGCCGTTAACTGAACTGCAGTCCGCATCCTCAACATTGGACGTGATGTTACAATTATACAGTATATCATATTTACAATAACATTACTATTTATAATATTACTCTATTTTATTAAGACCATGCTTCATGATAGTAACTAGCTTGCCTTTTGCAAATTACTTTATCAGCTAACGCTGCAAAATAGCCAACGCCTCATCCATGCCGCGTAGCTAAGTTATAGCTAGCTGGCTAACCTTAGCCTAGCTTAGGTTACAGTCAGATAATGTTTATATATGTTATTTATACACCTTTGCTTTCAACCGTTACATAATTTATCTTTGGCTGAAATCAAAACTGTTTATCATATTACATTAGTATCATTATACTATCAACTATAGTGTAGTATAGTGTAGTATAGTACAGTCATTCCCAAAGACTGGGTCGGGACCCACAGGTGGGTTTTCAGAATTTCTTCCAGTCTTTTATTCAACATTTATATCTGCAGTACACCTTTGAGCCACATGAAGGAGCCTGAATGTCCGTATTGCTCTGATAATTGTAGCCCACTCATAACATTGAGTTTAATATGAAATCCTAACGTACATTGTGTTTGTTTTACTGATTAGAGAAAATGAAAAGAATGAGATGTATTTATTTGGCCTCATTTAGAAAGTATTCAACGTGTGAATATTTTTTCAATAACACATTTATAAATTGAAGTTCTGATTGTCAAGTGACTATCTCGTCGAAATGGCTTAAAATAAGGTGTTGCAGAAATGGCAATAAAAAATGGTCAAGAATGTTCATTTATGCACAAATTTGCTCTTCTCATGATTTATAGATGAGGCCTATTGTGAATTGGGTTGTGATGATTTTTAAAAGTGGGTCCCAAGAAAAAAGTTTGTGAAACACTGGTACAGCATATAGTATCAAAAGCTTACATAGGCAATTACGAAAGTCAGGGAAGGTCTCAGGTTTGAAGTTACCTAACAATCTGTTCACGCATTACAAAGCCATTAATACATGTATATTGTTACACATAGTATCATAAGTTTAACTTTCCACATTGGGGCTATAAACAGATTATTGGGCCAGTTGTCCTGTATATTTTTCTTCTTCTGCCATAACACTGTTTGATCTCATAAAAGATGAATGAATGAATGAAAATGAATCACCATCGGCCTCTCCTAGTAAGATGGAATATCATCTCGTCTTCTAAAATTAGTGCTGCCATGCCATAAAACAGCAGAGGGTTCATCTTGCTTTTTTCCAAACTAAAGTAAAGTGCCTTTTTTTTCTAACAATAACCTCTGCTGTGCTTCTGGCTGTCGCTGAGGCTTTGACAAGCTGTGAATGTGGTCCATTGAACCTCCATACAGGTGTCGACAAATCACCGGAGTAGGTGTTGAATATTCAGAACCTCATTTGCATAATAATACATTGGAATGTCACCGGCACCATCACTCAGAATAGGGCAATGGTAATCTGATTTCCTTACAGCGATCACCCCGTAATTGTAAATTTATGAATCAGATCTAATTAATATACTGCAGTTTTGGCGCGATGTCATGCAATTACTTGTGTATTGAGAGACCGTTTTTCCTTATGAGGCGGTTGAATACCTCTTCTTTCAACAATGCAATTACTGTTGTGAATCATAAATAAGCCACAGGTTGTTCCTTCTCTTATCCTCTCTCTGTGTATTTCTCTTTGGTAATAGTTGTGTTGTTCCTGATATTGTGGTGGAGACTCCAGTGTTGGACTTTCGAAGGTGTTTCCTCGATCGGCGCTACGAACAGCAACTGCGGCTGACCAACAACAGCACTCTACCTGCCTGCTACGGCATGCTTGACCAGGTTAAGTAGATCATTGCAGTCAATTATTCATTTGTGCGGCAGGGTACTCATAAAACAGAGAACTGAACAAATACGAAACCTGTCCTGCTGACACATGCATATTTAAGACAATGGCTCGTTTCCAACTCAATATAACACAATTTAAGTGTTAGAGGTGAGCGGCATGACTAAAGAATAAAACGGCTTAAAGGATTCGCACAACATTTTGGGACATATGCTTACGTGTATCTGCTTTCTTGCTGAGAGATGATGCCACTCTCATGTCTGTCCCGAAATGATAAAACTGTATCCAAAGGTAACACAATCTGATTAGCTGTACCTCTAAAGATAACTAATCTACACATTAAATCTTTATACGTTTATTGTACTTTAGACACAGTAACCTTTGACAATATCCACAAGATTTGACAAAGCCAGAATGCTAAAGCTGTTTCTTAGCTTTTGCTGAACTTTGAAGTGCATTTTCGCTGAGAATGAGCACTGTGGATTTTGACTTCCATCACTTCCATTGGCAGCGTATTAGGAAGGGATCTTCTAATTGGGAGTATGAACTGGAGGAATAATTACGGCAAGATAAATCTTCCGTGTTCCAATGCACACCTGACTATTGTTGTGAGACTGACTTAGACTATGAAAGTGCACTCAGTAGAGTGCAGATCTCCGCCAGGTGTTTCTCCCTCTCCCCTCGCAAACAAAGAAGAGTTGGATGTCACTCAGTGGTCCCTCCCAGCTAACCTGCAGTCAGATGCTCTAGTTGAAAATGAGACCGAACTTTTCTATGGATGTCCGTTTTCTATCCCCGACAAATGCCAAATTGGTAAGGCTTGCTTTTAGCCTAGCTCAATTCTGCCGGAAGTGCCTTTTGCTGCTGAAGTGGTTGTTGATCACTTGGAGCCCCTACCGGCCAGTAAAGAGGAAGGAGGAGTCAGCCATTCAAAAAAAACATTATCCATTAATCCGTACAAAAAAAAAAGTCTATGTGCCGGACTATTTCTTGACTGGGAGCAGTGACTTAGCTCACCGTCTCCTCGCTCCAGCCTCATTTTTATCGCACTGATATGAGAGCGGTGTCAATCTTCTTATCTAACTCTCCGCAAGAAGGCGAACACCATTCCCAAAATGTTGAACTATTGCTTTAATAAATGCAATTTAATACCACTATCACTAAGACTTTCTAATGATTTCAGAGAGGAAATAGAATTAAGATTATATTTAGAGTCAAAATAATCTGACCCTGATTTAGCTAGCTCCATGAAACTGCAAAGTACTGGTACAAATGGCCAACATTGTGACAAGGTGAGGGAGGAATGAATGACTTCCAGGACCTTTTTGCTTTCTATCTATACGTACAATAGATGTTGAGTCTGTATGCTTGCATTAAAAATGTAATTTCTGTCTGTGTCACCTTTTTCAGGAATACCAGGAGAGTCCGTCACTGCTTTTTGGCAGTTCCGCACCAAGAGGATTGATACTTCGTCACAGTTCAGAGGAGCTTCCTGTGTTTCTGCTGGCTAAGTCCGTAGGAAAGCAGACACACACTCTACGCATCGCTGTGTTCGGCAGCAGCCAGCCGCCCTTGGTCCGTGGAAGTGTGAATAACTGTCACTGGTTGAATACCATGCGAGTGTAATTGTGAGTGTCATTTTGTGTACTCTAATCTGCCTCTGTTTGGTTCTGTTCTGTTCCAGGAGGTGACTGTGTCCTGTATTGGGCAGGGACCAATAGTTCGTGTTCACAGTCCACAGCTGGACTTTGGCACAATCCCGGTTCTGACGGACATTACCAGAGCCCTGCACCTGTCAAACCAGTCTCCTATTCCAGCCCACTTCACTGCTCACATGGTACAAACACAGCAACACCAACACACCGACTAGCGCTGTTAGGTAGGCTTGCACATGCTAAAAATAGATAAACTTATAAAACACTAACTTACATTCAAATAGAGATAAACAAGGTAACTTTACGTGCCCTCAGTTCTAGTGGTAGGATGTTGCAGTAATTAAATGTTTTTAGCAGAAAATTTAGTGGATTTAATACATACCTGTCGAGCCTTCAGTGGCTAGATTCCTTGTGCAAACCTTCTGTCTGTCTTCCCCTGCTCTTGTGACTAATTGATTTTCAGTCTAATTTGATATGTAATTAATGAGTTAATAGGTTCAATACTTGGTTAGCTCTTGAAATAATTAGTTGCCAGTTCAATTTTAGTGTTATCCCAGGAGAATCAGGGATTTACCTCACAGTGTGCTCATTAAACCTGCCAGATGGTGACATTTTGTCAATTCAGGATGACATGAACGAAATAGACGGGCTTGATCTGGGAAGCTGATTGAACGATGATCCTCTCGGATTGCCTTGTTGTTGTTTCTGGTGTTTGTAGCTTTTCATGCACAAAATAGTAATTCTCACGGTGAGTAGGATTTGGTGGAATCTAGCGGTGTGTTTGCAGACTACAACCAACTGAATTTTCCCTCCACTCATTCCTCAATATGCAAGACTACGGTGACGTGGTCCGCCGAGCACAAAACTGTGGTAACGGCATTTGCCTCCCTCAGAGGCCATCCTTCCTATCGAACACTATGAAAATGTCTTACACTTTGAGGTACCACGGTTTTGCACTCTGCAGCTCATGTTTCACAAGCGTGTCGGAGAACTACGGTGGCCTTCAGGTAACATAAAAAACCCCGCAAAAGACTCGGGTTGAGCCAGTGTTTCATTCGTCCGTTTTGGGCTACTGTAGAAACGTGGTGGTGCTGGTGGTGCACCCGCTCCCTATGTTGATACGAGGGATTTAGACTTCTTCAGAAAATGTTGCCTTCTTTGTTGTTGTACTTCCTGCATCCAGCGCTGTCATTTGATCTGCCAGTGACGAGTTGGATGTAAGGAAGAACTACAGGCTTTTTAAACTTGGATTTTTTTAGTCTCCGCCTCTTGGTAGTGTGCTCTAGGCACCACTCAATCATCCCCAAATATGAGTGCAGAGGATGTTATGGACGAGGATACATTTTAAAAGTGTTTTGGCTACAGCCAAAGAAATGCAGCAGGGAGAGGTCAAAGTTGCTGCTGCATTGGCTCTGCAAGAGGATGCGGCCGGCAGTGACCATCCGGATGTCAGTAACTCGCGTGCAATGCATCCTGGTACATGTAGATACCGTCGGCTCAGCTCCACGAGCAGGAGAACTCAGCTTTCTCCGTCAATATAGCGCGCACTGAGGAGTCTATTGCTTCAATTGATTCCATTTACTATCAACACAGATTGGACATCCACATAAAAGGCGATGAATTTTAGGATTAAACAACTAATGTTCTGCTTACTTTTATATATAGAGAACTCACTCAGTGTAAATGAAACTTTACCGCGACCTGAGATCTACAGTGTTTCACTTGCCTCCTGAAAGCCCCTCTTCTCACTTTAAAATCCGCCGGGAACAAGCTTGCGACTAGAGCTTTTTGACTCAATACTTCCTGCAGTTGTGTGACCCTGTCCTCTCCTCTGAGGCAGCCTCTGAGCCACCCCTCCCTCCCCTCCCGCACACTCTCAAGAATTAATCAATGCGGATTCTCCTTGAATTACATTACATCTCGCTCAATAGGCTGGTTGAGATCCACACAGAGAGACCTGATGACTGAAGATTGCGGGGATATTACGGAAGGCATCCACACTTGCTTGTCATCTAAGTGACCGTCTGTGAGAAATTCACCACGACTCCGTCCCTAATCCAACCTAGGCTTTTATTGATTATTTTATGCAGTCTAGTCAGTTCTCGCAGCACCTCGCAGCGGATAAGGAAAGAATCCCTTTAACGTACAGTGTCAAAAATATCTCGACAGCCAGTGTGCACTGTGAAGAATAGCTTCAAGCGTAGCGTAGCATAGTAAACCCTTTACCTCAAATGGTAACAGATTTTTCTCTACTTTATTTTCTGTTGATACAAACAGAGATACAAAGCTAGAAATAGAAACTGCATGACAATACAAATGTACATGATATGGACAATGAACACCGTACGCCATTGTCTGCACTCTGTTAAAAAGGGATCGGCTGGAAAATTCATATGTTATTTTCGTCTGTTTTTGGCTGGCAACCAGAAACATGATTCCAGTTACATCGTATTGATTTGGTTGCGCTGTAGAAAGTTTGTCGGGAGAATCGGCTGCAGCAGTCACTTCAGCACCAGGTTCATGTGCTCTTCTTGATAGCTGTACGGCATGCCGCACCGCCGTGGATCCTAAGCCCTCCTGACTTGTGCCGCATTCAAAAGCAATCAATGCTAATCAAGCTGTGGGATGCAGCAGGTTTGATGTGATTATTGAGATTCCAGTCATCTTGCTCCTCTCTCTGGGGAGTCGACCCCCTGCTCTTTCCCCTCTTCTGACTCTACCCATCCCTCCACAGTGATCACCCTTGTATCGACCCACACTGAGTTCGCTTTCACCGGCTCCTTTACCCGATCCTTTACTCCGAAAGTCACTCTCTAGTCAAGTGTTGCCTGCGTCTTTTTTTTTTCTTCTCTCGAATGTCTGCAAGACTTTTCTCTAAGGAAGTAGCTTTGAACAGAGACGTCAAACTGAAGCTCCATATTTAAATCGTCCAATATTATTTTGAGTACAGTCTCTGCAACACTGAATACAGCAATAATGTCAATCGCAGTGTTTGACTGAAGACACTCTTCTCTGACGATGAACAATCTACCGCGTCGTCCTGTCGGCATTTGAAAGTGCCGACGAGCTTCACTGCATCTTTAGGAAGATCATTCTCAACATCCGAATTAGAAGTGTATGTCCCAGCCATTCATCACCACAGTTGCTGTATAAAACATTGATTGTGATCACGAACCACTGCTTGGTCACACAGTACAGTGGAGGGCTTTATTGAAGGCCTGGAGATGAACATCTGTTTTCTTATTTCGCTGGACTCTACTCATAAATACAATCCACAGAGCTGGGAAATAGAATGAGTATTGAACTTGCAGCATTCCCTGTTTCATGCTCTTATCAAAGAGAGTGTAGACCTGAGACAAATAACATTTTTAAACTACCCACGTGTGAAGGCTTTTATGTATTCGAAAACATATTTTAACATAAGATATGCTACATCTTTACAACTGTGCATCTCATACCCTACTCATTATCGTAACCATAGTAGGGAGATATTTCGTCTTGCTTATGTCAGGCAGGGAGCCACTGCTCTACTTACACCTCTAGGATCTCATGCTACACCGAGACATCGATGCGATTATGTAGCTACGTGATATTCACATCTATCTCTCCACGTCCATGCATGGCATTGGCCTCAATGGCGTGTGCAGCACAGTTAGAAGAAAGTGCCCCGCCCCAAGGGAGATACGTATATTGTTTCTCCATCGCATCAGATGCTTCAGCTTAGAGGAACTGTGACTATGTTTCTTGTTTCCTCAGAGCCACAGAAGTTCCTTTGTGCGAGTTGAGCCCAGTGAGGGGGAAGTGCCACCCGAGAGCCAGCTGGAGCTGAGAGTAGTGGCCCACCTGAAGGACACGCTTCACTTCCAGGCCAGGCTGGAAGTGTCCATCCAGGACAGCGAACCGCACGCTGTGCTTCTGTCCGCCACAGGCACCGGCACCACAGTTGTCAGTGACAAACCTTTCGCTCCCAACCTTGACCTAGGCACATACTTAAGGTAGAACGAAAGAGGTCACGCTCAAATTGTGACTCGGTGATAATGATGTGGGGATTTACAACTGAAAATGTAGTGCTGACAGGATGCCTCGCCTCCTTGCTGTCTTCTGTATGTCCTATAAGCCATGCGTCATGCCAGTATCACTTCAAGCTGACCAACCAGGGTGAGCGAACGAACCGGATGTACTGGCGGAATGACGGCTTCCAGCCCTCAGCAGAAACCCGAAAAAGGGGCAGCTTATCCGGCCGAACCGTCCTGCCCCCCATCTCTGCTCCCAGAAAGAAGGGTATCTTGAGCTGTCAGTCCTCCAGCAGAGAGAAGGCAGTGTTCAGCCTCAGCCCTTCTCGTGTGGAGCTTGCTCCAGGCGGCTCTGTTGACATGGTGCTGACGGGATCTTCAGACTCCCCCAAGGTGAGACAGTGGGCTTGCAGGCCCGAAAGGGAATAAACCCAAACTTCTGAATTTCATAAGCACACTGTACATGTACAGTTCATATGTTCTTTTCTTCAACAAGGTTGCACAGGAGCGCCTGGTGTGCCGTGGCTTTGTGGGTCGCCAGGGCTGCAATGAGGTCATCATGTCTGTAGATGTCACCTGTCGCTTTGTGGCTCCCTTACTCAGCATTTCCTCCAGGCAGCTGAAATTCTACCTGGAGAAGGTTGGTCAAAAGACTGTCTCTCCAGGATACCTTTATTCAAAACTATATTATTATATTAGTAATTAGTTCTGTAATGTAAATATTTATTTATTTGTCTTACAGGTCCCAGGAAAGAGTCTAACACCCCTATATGAGAAGCTCATCTTGGAGAATGTGTCGTCTCTGCCTCTGTCCATTGAGCTCTCTCTTGGGGAGCCGTTCTCCCTGTGTGAGGCCTCGGGAGCCCATAGCCCAGCTACCACTAAGGTACACATCTCCTCCTCTTGGGTAACTTTTGTTTTTCATTTCATGTTCCAAGATGAGAAACCTATTGATTTTAGTGGCACACAGACTTTTGGCCTGGCACCACCATGAATTGGAACTTAAATCTGCCTCCTAAAACCTCACTTCAAAATTTTGAAAGTGATTTGCATTGAGTGACAATCACCTAAAACCTGTAGTGAGTGAGCAGTGTGAGAAGTGCTGTCAGAACCTAATGCTGTTGAGGTGGCAACAAGATAGTCAGCAACAATACAACTCATCGCTTCTAAAAATAAGGCGACCTTATGAACAGTTCAAGTTCAGTGGAACTCCTCTGCATCACTGTCCCTCTTGTCTGTAGTGGACGTGTGTGTATACATATTATTTATTTTTTCATCACAGTTAATGTGTTGAGTCGGATACTGTCTTACTTAATATTCCTTATCTTCCATTTGAGACACATGGGCTGTCATATGCTTGTTTTAAACTCAATGTTTCGATGACTTGCACTCAGTGGCATTACTCCTTTTAAACACCTTTTTCACCGTACATCATACATTCCCAGAAGACCCATGTTTATATTTGATCACAGCTCTAACTTCCATTCTGACAGTTGATTTAAATATGGGATTTGGAATCCGCATTAAAATGGTTTTAAAGCCTGAAGCTAAAGAATAGCGGAATATGTTTATAAGCCCGGGTCCCTTGGCAGGATAACAATAGATGTTTGATTAAACTCTGTAAAAAAAAAAAAAAATGTTAAAGGTTGTGAACTTATGCTTTGGGAGTCATCCGATAGAAAAAACTTAAATGTAATGGAAGACAAAAAATGAGAAAAGTTGAAGTCTGTGATCCTAACTATTGCAAAGTCAGCGTGTTTGCTTCAATACCGTTTAAGTTTTACATTTTAACTCCTGTATGTCTCTTCCTAGTCCATGGTTTTAGGTGACGGGAGGCAGGCTAAGTTGTGGGTTTGCTTCAATCCAACTTACTGTCAGGATCAGGTGTCACGAGTCGTGGAAGAGGTAACAGTGATGCTTTTTTTTTTTTCTTTTTATTCCTTACGTAACCTTCGTAGCATATCTTAGCGCAGAAGGCAGTGGTTTCCAACATGAGTTATAGGACCCCCATTGGGTCCACACGAATATTTAAGGAATCATATACACAACATAAAGTTCATTTTCTTTAAATGTAGCTCTTCTCAAATTTGGTGATTTTGAATTGGATTTTTATGAAGTGCTCCTTTAGGGGTTGAGAAAATGTTTCTTAGACTTAATAAACCGCTTGGCATCTCTGTAAAATGCATCGTCACAAAGTTGAAATCATCTTTCTCATGAAAAGTTGACTTTTTAGAGATGCGTGCTTCAAACGCATGACGTTCTTATAAATGTGATGCATTCCTTTAGATTAAACTACCCAACAGTATATAAGGGAGTTGAAATACACTACCTTAAACATCTACATCAGTAGAATGCAACATACATACTGTGGTAGTGCTTTTACTGATGTAAAGGATCTGAATACTTCTTCCACCACTGCAGCAGCCAAAACGTTGACATATTTACCGGTCATATCAGATATTTTTGACAAACACATTTTCTTCATTGACATATTTTTTTCCCCCCAGGCCCTTGAGATACACTACCAGGGACACCCACGGCATGACACGGTGGAGCTGTACGCTGAGGTCCACTTCCCCAACCTCCACTTCTCCACCACCGCAGTGGACTTCGGCTGCGTGCTCAACTGCACGGGGACCCGCAGAGCAATCTCCATCACCAACTGCTCCCCGCTGCCCGTGTCCTACCACTGGGCCTTCCTGGATGACCAGGAACACGGTGCCATCGGGTGTGTTTACACAGAGAAAGAACACACACAGCATTCATACCTTGTGTCTATGGAACATACAGCCTTTTTTGTGTTACCTTGATTGGGTTGTAGAACTAAAGGAAGCACCCTGGTTCAGTTCACTTTTTTGTTTGTTAAAGAACAAAGCAGTGTTTAGAACTGTACTATCCTGAATAGACAAGATTCAGGGACAAGAGCAGAATCCCATGCATATATTGAAACTGTCCACTGGGATGAGTTAGTACAGTATAGCTATACATTTAACCCTCTGAATTGAAAGCCAAATCCATTATAAATTCTCCGGGGGAAGACAAATCTACTGATTGTGTACTTAGCGTTACATTGTGCCTCTCTCAAGCCTTTGCTCTGGCTCCCCTCCCTTGAAATGCACTGTGAATACTATAGCAGTCTGTCCGTCCATGGCCTTGAACCAACTAACTGCTACAGCGCTACAAGATTTATCACCCTCCACCGTCTTTTTTCCCCCTCCCCCTCTTTCATCTATTGCTACTCCTCCTTTTTTGCTCCCCTCATCTCAGGCTTTTACATTGCCTATTTATCTTTCCTTTTTTTTCTCCTTCATTTTCCTCCTTCCTCTCCTCCCGCTCTCCCGTCTCTTCTGCCTGTGCTTCTGCTCGCTACCAAATCCGTATCACCCTTCTCTTCTCTTTCCTCACCCTCTCCGTCTCGGATTGTGACCTCTCTTAACAATCTGTCTCATAGGCCGGCCTGCTAATTAAATGGAGACCTCACTCTGCGTGCACTCACTCGCTCTCCGAAGTCTCTCTTTCTCCCTCACGAAACCTGCACTATCTGGCCATGTTCGGCTAATTACATCCCTATCAGTAATTACACCGCCGCCTTTGGAGAGGGGAATTTCAATAGAGCAAACCCAATTTTTCTCTCCCTCTACCCCACTGATAGATAGAAGCAGTACAATACATTTAAATACTGTAACTTCTCAGTCTTTAGGACTCTATATTTGCACTGTAGATACTTCTAGGGATGATGGATTAGATCACTAGACAACAGAGTGACAGAGTCATCACTCACAGGTAGAGGAAGTTGAGTTTAAGCCTAGGTGGATTAATGCAATAGCGAGATTCTTGAGCAACTATCCATGGTCACTCGTCCAGTCTTTTAAACCTGGAATGTCACTTTTTTTTCAAACAGTCCGACAATCAGAAACAGCCTTGAGTTTCCTGTTCTTGCATTGTAATGTAAGCATCATGGAGACATAATTGAATTCTTTCTGCTACTAAAGCACATTCAATGTCCATATCTCATCAGAGAGAGGCGACACGTTATTGTGGTTACACATTTTTTTGTCACCAGATTAGATGATGTTTAACTTGACTGTCATTGCATTTTCTTGTCCTCTTACTTCCTGTGTGCAGTGTCGCATCTAACAAGATAAGACTGCAACCAATAGTAAAGAAAGAATAATAAACCAAAGAAGACTGATGCGTATGAAATAAACAAAGAAACAGATAAAACGTTGAAGGTGAATAGCTACTAAAACAAAATATAGAGAGACACGGAGCCTCTGACTGTGACATAAATGTAAACACGCAACCGTCTGATCTAAAGGGTAAATGTACTTAGTTACTCTCCACCGCTGGGAGTAAGGCCGGTAACACCTCTTGCATAAACTAAATGGCACATGTCTTGGAAAAAGCTCATTTGCATGGGAGACGAGTGAAACTGGTCATCCTTACTGGAGCGTTTTTAGTTCTTAAGAATATGACGTACACTAACGGGAAACCGCAAAAGTGATAAAACCAAAAGTAATGTTTCTGCTGTCAGCTGTTAAATGGAAATGCATAAACATTTACAGTTTATTTGAAATAATGTATATCAGCGTTAAACCAGCGAGAGTCTCTCTCTCCCTCTCTGTCGCTCTCTATCTTTGTATCTCTGTCTCTCACACACACACACACACACACACACACACACACACACACACACTGACTATAATCCCAGTAGCCATTAGTCTGTACCAATAGCATTTTCTCAGCATCAAAATCTTTCCCCATCACTCCTTTTTTTCCCCAGCAGTCTGCAGGAAGTGAGATGTTTGTGGTTCAGTAGCCTTTGCTGTGTAGATTATTAGTGAGACTGAACATAGCAAAGCAGTCAAACACAGTCACACCCACCCATGAAGGAAGGAATGGACGGAGGAGAGAGAGAGAGAGAGAGAGAGACACATATGAGAATCTCAGAGTAGGCTATTTCTGTCTTGAGCCGCACTCTTGCAGAGTCATCATCTGCTGTCTCACCATCTGTTCCTCTGTCCGCACCAGTGGGTTTTAAACTCTTTCCAAAAAACTTCTTTTTTTCCATGGGGGGGGGCAAATGGTTTTTCGTTGGGCTTTTACAAACTCTTATCCACCCAAATTGCACCCTATTTTTTAGAGACATTGACCTACAGTGTTTGTTCGCTCCAACGTCTGACATTGCTGGACGTACTCATTTGTGATCTCCCTGAGGCCAGACATCAGGCCAGCTTGTCCTAGCGTTCATCACAGACAGACCATACAACAGTGACCCCTGAGTTCATCACAGACTGACCATACAACAGTGCCCCCTGCTGGTTGTTCTGCTCGCCTCCTCTCACTACAAGAGACACACCAGGGCTAAAGCACTAACTAACAAATGCTTGTGCAGACTTGAATGCTGCCTTACAAGTATGTCTCTCTGAAGCTCACACACACACACACACGTACACAAACACGTACACACACTGTGGCGATGACGTGGCCGGTGTTCAGTGATTTAATATAGAACTTGTGCAGCCCAGCTTTGAGATGGCTTCACTCACTAAATCTCTTTCATTCTCTTCCATGTTTATTCAGCACTTCACTACAATCTATCTTGACCTGTTTCCTGCTGCTTGCCTATTAAAATTCCTCTTAATTATAGAACACTATGTTTAATTAACTTGATGGATGCACCCAGTCTGATCCCACAGGGTAGGGGAGAGTCGAACAGAGACAGAAAATGAGAGTCTGAGTTCTTTGGGGTGTGGGTGATGAAGATTTTCTTCCCCACTTGGGTATCACAATATATATTAATGATAGAAATACAATGGATGCTTATATACCTTGTTGTTGTAGGACATGTGTTACTCTGCTACCTCGTGGACATATTGAGGCTTTCACTGGTCTATCTTCATAAAGTTGGACGATGGTTTCATGTATTCTTGCCTCTTGCCATTGATTTTCCCCAATGTTTCATTCATCCTCTGTCTGTTTTATGTAGCTTTACTTTCATCGTGGGGAAAACAAATATCCACTTCAGAGATGTTTTATTATGCTTTCGCCCTCGTAGAGAGACAGAGACGCTGGAGGCAGAGAGGGAGCAGACGGATCCAGCAAACGGGACAAAAGAAGAAGGGTGGAGTTCCTCTAGAATGCCTTCTTCTTCTGCCTCTTCGGATCCGCTCAGCCCCAGGCCTGGTGCAGATGAACAGAACAGCTCACGGGGCGCGGTGGGTGTGGAAGAGGTAGGCAAATGCTCGCTTGTAAACAAATCAGGGTTTTCCTTGAGCTTTCACGTTTGTCAGGGGATGGAGGGAACCTGCAGCTGTCTGTATGCTGCAATGCTATGGAGGAAGAAAACATGCACATGCGCGTACACACACACACACACACACACACACACAGATCTTGTACAACACTCTTTGTTGTACAGCACAGAGTGCAGAGTGGATTACTAAAAGTAATTAATGTAATTTAATGCTGAGAATCTTTTACAAATCAGAGGGGGCTTCATGGTAGTTCCCTGATTTATAATTTGTGTCGGAGATTTGTAACATGTGTATATATGTACATGTCATATGTCATTTGGGGCCACAACTATATTCATTTTCATTATTGATTAATCTCTCGATGATTCTTTGATCAATCAAATTCACTTCTATAGACCATGTCACAGTTGTAAACATCCCAATGGTGTCCCAGTTTATTTCCTGTTGCAGCTCATGTGGAGGACATTAGCTGGCAGGAAGTAAACATGGAGCCAAGCTGTTGCCTAGCAATGCATTAATGTTGAAACAGTCTATAGATTGTAAAAAATAACAATATTGTCGGACCAACAAGGGAAAAACGAAGGCATTTACTATGTATCGATTAAGTCATTGATTAATCAACTCAATAGCATACACCACGAGAGCAAAATCTAAATGAGAAACCTTCTGAAATACTAGAGCTTAAAGGAAGAATTCAACATATATTTGCTCTCTTGCTGCCACGAGTGGGACCCAAACGCAGGACACGCACCGGAGTAGAGTTGGTAAGAAAGAGTTTGTATTGCGAAGAGGGTAAGGATGAGGACGCTGAGGGATTCAGCAGCAGCAGGGGTAGAGCTGGTGGTGGTGGTGGAGTAATGAGGGAAAGCGTACCTGACTGAGGGTGCCGGCAGGCAGACATACGAGCAGGAAGACTTGCAGGCGGGTGGACACCCTGGAGCACAGAGAGCACGATGGAAAACATGATGAAGAAATAAATTACGAGAGTGAGTTTCTTTTAGTTCGGCCTGAAATAAATAAACAACGTGGTGGTGAACAACACTCTGGTGAGGAGTGAATGAAGAGGTGGAGAAGATGCACTGCAGGTCGATGATGTGATGGGAGGTGGATGAGTGGGTGTGTGTGTGTGTGGGAGGTGTGTAGACTGGGAGGGTGGATGACCGATTGCAGGCAGATGTGTGAGAAGACTGGACCAGCAACCGGGAAGGAAGGCCACGGCAACACACACAACATACAAAGACGTAGAGAGACGCATGAAGAAACGCAAATGCCGAACTATCCCTTTAATGTGAGCGTATAATAACAGCAGAATCAGTAAATAGAAATGAGGATTTCTCTTGTAAGGTGCGCTTGTTTTCCTTTTTGTGCCTCTAGGTGTTTGACATCTTCCCGATATATGGTCGTCTGCGACCTGGGGAGCAGCAGCAGGTCATTTTCACTTTCTTTGGCCACGAAAATATCAGCAGAGAGGTGGTAGCACAGTGCCGTGTAGAGGAGGGGCCGACGTATGAAATCACACTCAGAGGAGAAGCATCTGTAATCAGCTACAGCCTTGACTCCACGCATATTGACTTTGGTCTGCAGGTATGTAAACAGAGCTCCTTTACCCAGACTTAATCCTCTCAGATCTCCAACCCAACAAGCGCTATTAATCCGCTTATTATACGCTGCAAAAACTGGTGAGAGGGAATAAAATTAACTTTGAATGTCACTGCATAGTTTTTCACACTTTGGTCTTTTGCGCCTCCACTCCCTCTTTAAGCATGCAAGCCATCAGGACCAGTTATCATTGATATTCAAAACAAGGGCGTATTGATTTCTGATTTAGTTGAAATGAGCGATTCAGTAGAACATTTCTCCGACCTTCCTGTCTGTTCAGCACTATTCTTTCTCTTTTATTTTCTCTCTCTCTGTGTGTTACCCCTTGTGTTGTTTTCCTGCCTCAATTATATTTATCCCTATTAGTCACATCTTTGAACAGTTCCTGATTTTGAGCAACGTTTTTGAATCACTTTTCTTGTTTGTCTGTATCTCTCTCTGTCTCTTCCTTTTAACAGCCATATAAAAGTTCCATTTTGCTCCTATCACAGTAACAACTATTACAGTGACGCCGTATCTTCTTTCATATTATATTTTAATGATAGTTATTACCATAAACCAAGAGGTTCAAACGGAGGCCAACAGCATGCATGCTCTTTTCTAGAAACCATCACTGCACTGTACTGTGTCATCGTTACAGAGCACCCACTCCACCAAAGAGACACTAGGTGGAGTGGTTTTACCAAAACCTTCTGCCAAAAAACAAATTCACATTATCTCCAATGAAAATATAGGCAGTGACAGTTTAAAATGCTTTCTTCCAGCTGTTTGATCACGAAGGGGAAGCTGAGGTGACCCTGAGGAATACGGGCAAGATGGGCTTTAAATTTAGCATCATAGGCCATCAAAAGAAGGATGAGGAGGCAGGTGAGGAGGCAGGGGGACAGAGGAAGGACCTGGAAGAGGAGCAAAATGAGGAAGGACAGGATGTCATACCAGGCCGGCCCATGGTCATCCCCGCTATGGTGAGGTCATGTTGGGACTCTTTCAGACGTGGGAAGATCATTTATTATGCACAGGTTGTTGTTTTTCTTACCATATTTTGTGTGTGTTTTTTTGTGTGTGCCAGGGTTACATTGATCCCGGTGCGGAGCAATGTCTGCATGTGCTCTACCTCCCAGGCCTCCCCGAGGTGTTTGAGAAGCAGCTTCAGCTGCAGGTGGCTTTCCTGCCCCCGCAGCTCATCACGCTGACTGGCGAGGGAGTGTTCCCAAGGATCAGCCTGAACTTACCGCAAAACATGTGTATGCAGAGACATGCTCCCAAACACACAGACATGACCATATCCCTACTAACTAGCCAACAAGGATGAACATTTACAATGAAATATTTTTTTATTTACGATTTATGCTCTTCATTTAAGCCAAAAACTGGAATTCCCGCCTCGCGGTTGTGTGCATACACATAACCCAAAATGCCCAAATGCGATTATGGTGTCAGGACTGTCACTAGAAGGAAATGTTCTCTTTGCATTGGAACGGACTATTGGAAACTTATAAGCTCAGTAAACAGCAGTAACGAAAAAGTGGTAAACATGGGGTGTCATAGTTTATCGTCTCTTTTAACTGAATTAAACTCCAAGTAGGTAATCCTTGTGGCGCTATATCTCAGGAACTGAGGAGGGAATTTCTTCAAATTTGGCACAAACGCCCACTTGAACTCAAGGATGAGCTGAGGTCACTGTGACTTTATATCCACCCAGTTCTCTTGAAAGAGAAATCTCAGGAGCACCTGGAGGGAATCTCACTACCACTACACTATCTTACTGGACTACAGGATGAACTTATTAGAATTTAATGGTCAAAGGTCACCGTGACCTCACAAAACATAACTCAATAATTAATTTACATTGCTAATTATGATGAATTCACATAAAATGATGAAGTGACAATATTTTGGACAGACATGGATGTAAACTGCAACATGACTGGTTGGCGGAGGCATACACGTACTGCGCGGCGGTAATTCTAGTTGTATTAGCAAATCCTTCGGTTAATTGAAAGGTCTCTATGCTAACGTATACTGACACAAATATAACCCTTTGTATCTGCACTGATGTGGCGCTGTGATTCCCTTGCAGCCGAGGAGTGTTACAGCGATGTGGTGCAGCAGGCCAGAACAGCCGTGGAGGGAGAGGAGCTTATGAATGGAACCGCCGGCGTTGGAGGAGATACAACCGAGGCCAACCGCACCCTCACAGTCAGTGACTAAGATTTTAAAAAAAAAATTGATTTTATGCATTGACAATCTGAATAACACAATACTAAATATATGTTATATTAATGTTGTTTCCTGTTTAAAATGCCTAGTGAATATATGTATAAAGTCTATAATGCATGCCCCAAATATAGTTGCTTTCAATAAGGCATACCCTTATTTAAAGAAAGCAGTACCACTACATCTCTGCTCTCAGTAACCAACCTATTCCACAGGGTTTTCCTGCTTCTTATCTGTGCATTGATTTTCCAGGGAGTAGACATAAGCCATTGAATTACAATGGAAATTGCTATTTTCTGCTCATCCCCTCGGTACTTATTCACGGTTTTGTGTGTTGCCCCAACGACTTCCCTGACATTTCCCCGTGACTGAAATGAAAATGCAAACATTTCCTTTGCAGATAAGGATAGGACAAATAAGGACTGCAACACCTTAGCATAGACTTGAAAATAAGCAGCATTACCACCTTATCCACAAAAAAAAACCTGACCTTAGCGACTTTCTATTGCTCGGCCTCTCGCAGCTCTCTCGGGAACCCCTCATCCAAACAACTTCACACTCGACATTGTGCTCCCTTGGGTCCTCCTGAGCATTTCACCTGCCATGATGTAGGTGCAATGCTAGAGTGTACACGTCATTTGGGTGCAACAGCTCCCACGAACATCGACGGAGAGCGAGCTGTACCCAGGATGCTGTTTTGTAACAGTTAAGTCCCCTTTCAATACATTCCATCCCATCGATCTCAAGAGCTCACACATGACCCTACAGTGTGAAGTTGATCGGATGAACGGTTGTGGAGAAAATGGATGCATACAGACAGACAGAGACTGCTTCCATTTAGTTTAAATGTGTTTTAAAGTCAAAATTACAACGTGATCAGAATGATAATAATTCTGCATTGTTATTCAATTATGATGCGTCAAGGGAGAACACAAGTACCTCTAAATTCATTTGTTTTGGTTCAAATACCTCAGATCTAGCGCCGTTTTATCATAAAATAGCTTCGTTGATAATTAATACAAAAATCTGCAATTGTTTTTTGGCTAGTCGAAACATAAGGATTTCTGTTGGCACATTTTGTCAAGTCAGTCAAATCTGATTTATTCATAAAGCCCCACATCGAAGCATATGACCCCCTCTCTCTTTAGACTCTCAGTCCGTAAATGGAAAAACTCTCCCCAAAAAACACTTTAACAGGGGAACAAAGCAAGAAACCTCAGGATAAGCAAACGAGGAGTGTTACTTCTTCCAGGACAAACAGACATGCAATAGATGTCATATTTTGCCAGGTCAAAAGTTATAATTTAAGATATCACTTATTCCACTCTGCCTTGAAGTAGAACAGAACTATATTGGGGCTCTAAAATATTTTTTTGTAAAAAGCCTTTTGAAAGCTTAGGCTACCATGTCCAGCAGTAGGCTATTCATATTTTCGAATTGAAAACATATACTGTATTTACAAATATGAATAGTGAATGCGAGAAAAAAATGTTTTCGCTGTAAATGACACTGCCAGGCAGAGCATGCAACGGGTTGCGCGAAGAGAGCAAACACTTCTGCTTGTGGACCTAAACGGACAAATTTGAGCCAGTGTCGTTGGTAATAACCTGGATTAAAGCAGAACATGGACGCTCCTCTTCCTGGATACCAAGACGGCAATGAGAGGAAGCCGAGCCAAAGACACCCAGGACTTGTTGCAGGGGCATAGTTGTTGCGGGGTTGTTGTGTGAGTGGCCTCATTGTTGTGCAAAGTGTGTATAGCCCAGTTAATTGCCTTGGCATGGCGTCCATGAAATCTTGAACATTGCATATTAAATCTGTATAAGACTCTCACACAGTCTCTAAAGCTAAAGTCATACTGGCACTGGAGTTATGACTCATCAGGAAGTAAAAAGTGAGGATATCTTGAAGTTAGAATATTACATTTGCTTGCTGTTAAGAGCTCCAAACGGGGCATGTCATTTGCTTTGAGGTGGAGGTACCTCGAATTATTGTTCTCACCGCTGAGACTGTGCTGTTTGGTGCTTACGTAACTCATACTTTTTTAGTAACTTTCGAGTGTTTAATGTACCCTTCCTTCTGTCTCCCTCTCCCCTTCTCTCTATTGCCTGCTGCCTCTAGCATGAAAAGCTGCTTCACATGGAGATAGAGAGGTCGTTGGTCAAACGGAATGCTCTCGCTGTGACCGGTAGCATGCTGGAGCTCAGAGACCTGCAGGGTTCCTCCAGAAAGTGGCACAAACTTAGCCAGTATGTTCACACACATACACACTTTGGTTGAACAGATGGCCCACTCACTGGAATTCAAAGAGTTTGGGTTAATGAATGGTATCTGGCTGGGTAGGATTTTGTTCTGTGGTACTTGTGTAAATTTATGGACGTCATGATTGGCTGTTCACTTCACTCATACAATTCCACTCAATGGTCCCTTGTTTACCTTCCACAAGTGTATACTGCAGATTATGACGAATGCAACAATCAAGTTGATGTTTAAGGCAAAGAACTCATTCAATTAAAAAGATTGAGATTGTTATTTGCTTGGAAATATATATTTCAATGACATATGATGTTTTGTAAAATTATAACATTTCATGATCTGACAACTTGAAACATTTGAACTATTGAATCTATTAATCATCCAGCTGTAGTATGTAAGTATTTCCAAGCCCTGCCTCAGTAAACAAACTTGTGACTTGGATGTTGCTTGTTATTGTCTTATTCATGTCTCCTTCCCTAAGTCTCCTATCCTCTCCCCTAGGTTCCTGCTCCCAGAGTATGTTTTGGATTTTGGTTACGTCATTCCAGGCAGTGTCCTCAGTCACACTGTAAATGTGACCAACACTGGTTCAGTGGCTGTGTCCTTCCTTGCCAATGGCAAACCTCTAGCCGGAACAGGTAACATAATTCACAAACTTCAGACAACAGAACAACTTGGTTGCATCATAAATCGGCAGAGATTGAGCTTTAGGACACACAGAAATGACATCGGAAACTAGAAAAACAATGCGTCAATCCGCCCCGTGATTCAGGTGCGCTTCAAAATTGTATGTCTAGTCTCTCAGTGGCGGGGTCTTCAGGGAGTGAGGCAGAGTCAGCCAGCCAGATAATTCTTGTGTTTTGGTCTAAATCTGTGACTCTCAACCCACTCATTTGAATATAAGAGATGGAAAAAAACGAGCGGTGAAATACATGTTGCATGAGGAAATAAAAGTCTCCTGAAATAAATACATGTTGAATTATAAAATAAAAGTCCCCTGGAATAAATAAAAGTCACGTTTGGAGAATGCCCTTTTTTAGAATAAGAACAGATTTATTTAAACTATATTGAGTCATTTATATATTTAAATGTATTAATATTCTTATTGACTCATTTATTTTTTTCAGGATTTATTTAATTGACACCTTAATTTATTTCATAGGAATATTAGTTTATTTATTTATGTATGTATTTATTTCATATTGAATGAAATGGCATTCCATAGTTATTAATGCTTTAGAGATACTGGTGGGTGGATTTTATTATATCTGGACGGAGCCAAGCTAACTGTTTCCAGTGTTAACATTAAGCTAGATGAACCCTCTCCTGGATCCAGCTTCATGTTTAACAGACAGATATGACAGTGGTATGTATCTTCTCCTCTAACTCACTGCAGGACAGCAAACAAGCAGATTTCCCAAAATGTTAAACTATTTAAATTAGGCAGGAGAGACAAGTTTACAGATTAATATAGATATCATTTTGTTGATAAAGCCTAAAGTGAGATAATAGTACAGAAGAAGGATGCGGATAAAAGATGAAGTTGAATTGATGGATTGCCTCAAAGGGAGTGCCGCATCATCAATGGGGTGATAATCTGCCTTCTGATATTATTGCCTCTGTTTTCAATAGGATGTTTTATTTTCTATTTCTTCTCAATATTCTACATTTTGCCTTTATGAAATGAATAATACTTCGAGTGTGTCGTTGCCTCTTCTAAGGATTCAGTGCAGACGTTAAAAGAGTGAAGAACCTGCCCTGTGGAGAGACACAGACTTTCACAGTTAAATTTGCCCCCCAGAGAGCCAACCTGAAGATTGGGGACACAAGTGTTGTCATGCCAATACAGGTACAACATGTCGAAATAATTGACTCATTGTCACCTTTTGTTGATCAGCAGCATTGTGACCTCGTTTCTAAGTTGTCTTTGCTTGGCTTTACAGGTCGCAGACGGCCCGGTGGTGCAGGTGCGGCTGTGTGCGGTGGTAACTGTGCCGGCCGTCACTGTTTCCATGGATACACTGCAGTTTGACACTGTGCAGTGTGGCATGTGTCAGGTAAATACAGTGTGACAAGACACGGTTATGTAGCCCTGCAGAGGTTGCTTGTTATGTTCCATGATAAAAATGCAGCGCCGGAAGTTTGGATAATTATATAATCTCTGACACTGATGTGACTAAAATTGGACAATTACACAAATTGAGATCAAATCTTCTTTGACTGCCCTTTATATTTCAATCTGTATTATCAACACGCAAAAGTAGGACAACAGGAAGCACAAATTCTGTATGCAGCTTAACACTGCTGGGTGTGTGTGTGTGCGTGGCACGCTAATGAGCGGCACTAATTAGAGACCAGTGTGCTGCCTCACTGTGGTGCCATCTTGCGATCCGGTCAAGTTCATCATTTCCATACAGCTCATACAGTTGAACTGCTTAAACGTGGTTGTGGCTATGCATCTTTAATACGTCAGAGCGTTGTGATTCGTGATTTTGTGCTGAAGCAGCATGAACACCATGTATTAACTGAATATCAATTCATTCTGTTGTAGCCAAACTGACATGAGAATGCACTCAGGTTGTTGTTGTTGTTGTTGTTTGTTGTTCCCCATCAGATGAAGACAATACAGCTGGTTAATCGTGAGTCTGTGCCGTGCTGCTGGAGCATAGCTGAGAAGGGGAAGCCTCTCGAAAAGGTATAAGCGCTGTCATTTTATGGACATCTCATTGAACCTTTCCATCTCATTTTGTTATTTGATCTCCAGGTAACTAAAAACTACCTCTACATGGCGTCTACCATCTTTAGCTTTAGGAAAAAGAAGCCTTTGGAACAGTATCTAAAAAAGATAAATAGACATAACTGCATTCGGTGTTCTTGCTCTCTGCCAGCATAAAAAGGACGTGCAGATGAAGCGACCAGCTCCCGTGGTGTTCAAGATGATCCCCAGCTCTGGCATGCTGTTCCCTGGTGAACGAGTCAACGTCCAGATAACGTTCAGCCCCGCTGAGGGGGTAAAGAGCTTCATTGATTTTAGACAATCGGCACAATACACAGCAGAGCGTCATGGCGTTACATGGATTGGTGACCTCCTGCACGTGTCTCTGCAGCATCCTTACAACATGCAGCTACTGGTCCGTGTGGCTGAGAGCAGCCAGCAGGTGTTGATTGCAGCCCAGGGGCAGGGTGACGAACCACATCTCGAGTTCTGCCCGTCGGTGCTGGAGCTGGGGCCATGCATGCCTGTCGCCACTGAGGTTGAGGCTGAGGTCACCGTCAAGAACCGCTGCCCTTTCCCCGTTGAGTTCTACTCCCTGGATTTTGACAAACAGTATCTTGAGGAAGAAAAGGTACCACAGAAAGTGAAGTCACATGTTTTTATCTAATCTTTCCAACCACTCTTTGCCTCTCGGAGATATCCTTTCTTTTTATCTTATTTCCTCACCTGGTCCCTCACAACTTTTCATTTTTTTCTGTCTGTTCCTTTTTGTCTTTTCTTCCTGTACTGGTTTCCTTCTCCCTCCCCTCTCTTTCCCATTGCTTCCTCCCATGTAGATCCTGCGTCTGATACAGGGTTATGATGAGAACAACATATTACTGCTGCCTCCCAGAGCCACTGGAGAAAGTCTTCCCACAGAACTGCTCGAGTACTACCAGGAGCACTGCTCCCAGCTGAAAGACGATGGTAGCTTCAAGCGCACATGATCATTAAGCACTGAAATCATATACCATACCTGTTTTAATCCAATCTACCTGTGTGCAGCAGAACGGAAGGAAGGCCTGGATGAAGAAGAAGCCGTGATGGGTGACACATATGAGGAAGGAGAGAGGTCAAGACAAAACCACGCCCACTCAGCAGACAGCAAAGTGGAAGAAGTGCACACTTTAAATGTGAAACAAGCTGAACTACGTGAGTACAACGATGTTAAATACAGAACTTGAAAGTAGCCTGAGGTGAGTGTAATTTCCACGAGTACTGTGTGTTTAAGTAACGCTTGTTCTTTCAGTCGATTCAGAGATGACCATAGAGGGAAGCAGTGGGGGACTGGGGCAGCTAGAGATGACCCCCGTTTCCAGAGCAATTGCCCGCCACATGCGTGTTGATCTGTCACCTGAGGCTCTGGCTGCACGCAACCACAAAGGCATTGCTATTATTGTATATGGAGCCCCACTGACAGGTGATGCAATTCATTGACTAATCAATCAATTAAAAGTAGAGTATGTGTTGTAAATCAAGTAAAATTATGTCACCTAATTTGCAGAATCGTCATATTTTAATCAAATAAAATCCTTGCCCTTGCAGTTGTAATGCAATGAGTTCCTCAAAAGAGACTTCAGAAAGATTATCCTGGCAAAACGTTTTTTTTCACCTGATCTTACGTCATAAACACAGGAGAGAAAACCATTTACATCAGACTCAAAAGGATCACCCACATTTATTTTTCTAACTTGCCTCTTTAGGGCTTCCGTACTATACAGTACACATATTACATCCTGTTTAAATACCCAGTAACCTGGGATTGATGAGTATGTATTTGTAAAATAGTGTGTGTGTCCCGGTTCTCCACTTTAGATAACGGCAGCACAGCGGCTGTTCTGGCACGTCAGTACGAAGGGGCGTGCCTGAGTGTTGACGCCGTGGTTACAGAGGTGCTCGTCAATGGCACTTCACCTGTTAGCCGGACTGCAAGACAACTCTATGACTGTGCTGCTGCCCAGTATGCTGAGAAGAAGCCTGAGGAGGCTGGTAAGAACAAAACACGGTGCACGCGGTGCACGCGGTGTAATGCTTATGTGGGATTTTTTTTTGTGTTCTGTGAGAGAAGTGGCTCGTGATGGACAGACTAGCAATGTTTTTCTGTACTTTCAATGTGCCGATTAAAAAGGCATTTCATCACCAACCACTTCACAGGAACGGCTCAGTAGTCAACAATAAAAGACTGTGATTACAGTACTCAGCATCTTCTATAGTCAGACAGGACACTACTGCAGAAGAGCAGAGTATTGAGTAACATTGGTAAATGAAGGAGAAAGTAAATCTATACATCTGCTTTCAGGTCAGACCACAGAACCAGGACCCGCAGCAGATCTAGAAGCCTCAGAACCAGCTCCACATTCAGCTCGAGCTTCACGTGATGCGGTGGAAGTTCCTTCAAAACCCAGTGAGGACGGCTTCAGTGGAAATGACTCCAAGGCTCCTCGGGAGACTGAAAACACACACCTTGCCCTTTGCCTGGTACATTTTCTCATCCTCTGCTCATCTGCTGTTTTTATATTGTTCTGTCTAACCATTGTAATCCAGGTTCGTGAATTGAAAAAAAAGTTTTGTATGACTTTTTTCTTCTTCTATAAATTGAGGGTATGCACCTACTTGATACAGCTTCATCTTTGCAAGGCAAATTTCTCTTGTAATTTAAATGAAATACAATGTAATAATTGAATATAATAAACCAATTGTTTGGGTGTGGTTTCTCTTCAGGGAGGAGATGTGACCTCACTCAACAATCTCTTTCCTGAACAGCTATTGGTTGATATCCTGACAGAAAGATTTCAGGTAAGTTTACACTCAGTTTCTCTTGTAGTTTTGAAGTTTCTTGTATAAGTGTATTGTGAGTTACATTACAAAAATATATCAGATATGTATTATGTGTAATGCTTAAAAGGTTTTGTGTCTTTTGTGTCTTCTCATTTTTGTTTTCTTTGTCTGGTCACTGTCATGGCGTCCTGATAACAGCTAAGCGACTGTCACCGTGGCATCATGGTTGACGGCCTGGAGTCTGTGTACGCTCAGTCAGCAGGCAGCACACTGCAAATTGTTCTCAGGGCTCTTAATAACCGGAAACACATCTTTGTAGTGAACCTGTCTGACTCCTACGCTGCCCTGAAGGCACGGGAGGAAGCACAGAAGGAAGCCGAGGGTAAAATAAATAAAAAAATGCTCCAGCTAATACATAAATTCTTATACAGAGGTCATAAATCATCAAAGTTATTGTATTTTTATGTGTAATGAGAAGGGTTCATGGCACTGTAAAGTATGTGGAACTGTCTGTGTGTGTGTGTGTGTGTGTGTGTGTGTGTGTGTGTGTGTGTGTGT